TAAAGAAAGGTAAAGAATAGAAGATAGCATTTTAATTATACTATAGACTTTTTAAGTACCTAGTAATACCTTTTAGACTTACTAACGCACTAGTAACCTTTTAAGCACTTATTAATAATGTACTCTATAAATATTTAGATATATTTATTATTATATATATAGACGATATTCTTATCTTCTCTAAAAATAAATCTAACTATACTAAATATGTATAGATAGTACTAAAAGCACTAGATAAGATATACTTAAGGATTAAACTTAAGAAATACTAATTTAATATTAAATAACTTAAATTCCTAGGACACATTATTACTATAGAAGGAATTAAGATAGCACTAAGTAAGATAGAGAGTATTAGAAACTAGCCTATACTAAAAACTATAAAAAATATCTAAGAATTCTTAGAATTCTATAGATTTAATTAATAATTTATTAAGGATTACGTAAAGGTTATAATACCATTAATAAATCTTACTAGAAAGGACACGCCTTTTAAATAGATAGATAAGTGTAGAATATTATTCTAACTCCTTAAGATAGTATATATTATAGAACTAGTTCTTATTTATTTTAGGAATAATAAACCACTATAATTTAAAACTAACGTAAGCAATCTCACACTAGGAGTATATGTAAAATAAGAATAAAATAGTAAATGGCACCTAATAGCCTACTACTTATGTAAATTTAATAACATAGAAATATAATATAACATATATAATAAAGAACTCTACGCTATTATTAAAGCCTTAAAGCACTAGAGAATATACACTCTTAGCTATTTAACACTAGAAATCTATACGGATTATAAAAACCTACTTAGGTTTATAATAATAAAAGAACTAACACTATAATAGTAAAGATGGTTGTAGACTACTAGATAATATAAGTTTAAAATTATCTATATAGTAGAAAAGAAAAATGGATAAGTAGACGCACTTAGTAGATAAAGTAATCTAGTAGGAGAAAAGGTTAAGACCTACTTAGTAATTCTTTATAAAAATAAAAATAGATCTCTTAAACTAATAGCAGAACTTAACTAACTTTTAGTTATAAACTAAGAAGTACCAAAGTAACTATAAACCGAGATTATTAGATAATACTATAATAACCTAACATATGGACACCTAGGCATTACGAAAATATTAGAATTAATTTAGAGGAACTATACGTTTAGAGGAATTAAGGAAGCTGTAATAGTATATATCTATAAATATATAGACTACTAGAGAAATAAATATGGCACATACCTTAAGTATAGAGAAATATAACTAATTAGAATACTAATGGCACCTTTTAAAGATATTACTATAGACTTTATTATAGAAATACTAGACTTAATTAACCTAGCCACGAAAACCTCGTATAATAGCATTTTGGTAATTATATATTAATTTATAAGCTATATCGAATTAATTCCATGTCTAAAGAATATAATAGCTAAAGAACTAGCTTACCTTTTTTAAGATAAGTGGGTTAGACACCATAGTATTCTAAAGATAATTATTAGTAATAGAGATAAGCTCTTTATATTAAACTTTTAGATAATATTTATAGCACTTATTAGAATAAAATAAAAACTATCTACAGCATATTATCTATAGATAGATAGAAAAATAGAAAGAATAAATTAAACCATAGAAATATATCTATAAATATACTATAATAAATAGAAAAATAACTAGGTTTTACTACTACCTATGGCATAATTAGTGTATAATAATAAGGTATTAATAGTAATAAAGTAAACACCTTACTATACTATATATAGAAAATATCTAAATTTCTTTAATTAATAACTACTAACGAATATTAACGCAAAAGAAGCCATAGATATAGTAGATAATATAAAAAAAATATATAATAAACTCTAAGGAAACCTTAAGAAAGCTTAATAGTAAAGTATTTTATATATAAACTAGAAACGAAAAATAGTACCTTAGCTAAAGAAAGGGATAAAGCATATCTACTTATAAAGAACCTTTAAACTTAAAAGAAAAAGCATAAGAAACTAGATTATATTAAGGTTAGACTATTTTACATTTCCAAATAAATATTACTAGTAAACTATAGATTAGAATTACTACTAGATATAAGAATACACCCTATATTCTATATATTACTATTAGAACTAGTAGACCCTAAGACACTAGTTAAAACTACCTTCTATTATAGAGCTAAAGAAGAAACTAAATTTAAAATTAAAAGTATTATACACGTAAGAACCTATAAAGGAAGCTAATAGTACCTTATTAAATAGAAAGGATACCTAGATAGTAAAAATACTTAGAAACTAAGAAGTAATCTAGATAACTATTAATAAGCGGTTAAAAAATATAAGTAAAACTAATAGAACTAGTCGTATAATAGAAAATATAGAAAATATACCTAGTTACTAGAGATAAAAGGAACATTTTCCTAGAAATTAGAAGAAAGATTATCTATTACTAACTAAATTAAGGGGCGAAGCTCTATAGGACTAGTAGGCTAAGTAGGCTAAATAGAATCTTTATCTAACTCTACTAATACTATACTTTCTACTATAATAACTTTACTAGTATACTTCTTATTCTATAATAACTACTTCTTTAACTAATCCTCTTTTACTTAAGCTATATATATAGCTTTAAAAGTAGTATTCTACTCCTTTTATACTTTATCTAACTACGCTTCTAACTTCCTCTTCTTAGTAACTAACTAAGAAAACTTATTCTAAGTAATAGTAATATTATACCTTAAACCTTACTTCTAACACTTACTATACTTTCCTAAACTAATATGGACCTTATAAACATAGGCGTATAACTAATAGAATAAGCACTTTAATACTATAATAATACTATAGTTTTTAATAGTAAAAATAAGGTCGTAATAACGCTTTATAGGATAATAGTTAGTAGGCATAATTCTTTAAGGGTAAAGAATAAGAAGGGGAGGGATAATATTATAAACTAAATAATAGTAGGGAAGTTTAGGCGCTTATAAAGGTAGAAGATATAATAGCTAGAGTTATAATAAGATAAAGACATGCTAAGTTACTTAGATAGTAGTTATATAACTTACTTAGCTACTTAGGGTTCCTAAATACCTAAGTAGCTAAGAGCTATTACGTAACCTACTTAGTTATTTAGGGCCCCTAAGTAACTAAGTAAGATCCCTATATAGGAATATAAGGATAAACCTTTATACTTATATTTAACCTAAGTTTTAATCTATTATTTAGATTTACTTAGGCCTCCCTTATTAACTTATTACACTTTACAAGATACTTCTATATTAATAAGAACCCCTTCTTCCTCCCCTTAGTAAGTCTTGCCCAAGAACTAACCTTAACCTATTTAGGACTAGCTACCCTTTCTGGATTTAACAACAACATCCTCCATGCATATTCTTGTAGACAGGACGAACATGTGCGTGTTACACAACATGATCCAATAACGCTAGGTGGATGCGAACAACTTTAGACTACATCGTCTCAGGTTCTACAAAGGCAGGGATTATTTTTCTCACCTCCTACCACCATAGTCCGCGTCCAGACCAAGATCATCCAAAAATAAAAAGACCATGGTGTGCTGCTTCACTTGCAAACGCTCAGGACGGATCACCACATCAATCGTGCACATTCAAGTCAATTGTTCATCACTTGGTATCCGCGTCTCGATACATCAATGCAAGATGGCGAAAGCTCCCATTCCTCCAGAGCCCACTCCTATTACGCACGTTATGCTGTCTCCTCCTTTAGGTCAACTCGCCAGTTCCATGCAATCTCCAAATGCTACCCTACCACCTTAATTTGAATTTTCGCCTTTCATGTTACATCCTTCGCAACTTTCCCAGGGTCGTAACTACAGTCATCAACTCCCACTTTTCACCTCCAAATTCGATAACATCAACGGTGATGACGTAATCAGTTCTATCTAGACACTTGATCTTGGAGGCTGCTGTTGACGTAGTATTTTAGCTTCTTGTCTGAGGAGAATTCTTCAGCCGCAATCACTCAGGGAACGAAGACCCCGCTCTTCCCGGAGGGACCAGCTGGTAACGGAGGTCCAAAAACCTATGCAGGAAGAAGCTTCCGCTCCGCGGAGGTATCACTGCGTGTAGTACTTCGACTCCGCTTTCTCCATCGAGTCATTCTCCAGATCCTTTGTCAGTACCTCTGCGGTCACCAAACACATCCTTGTTCCGAACACGCCACCCCCAGTTATTTGCTCGTCTGCGAGGATACAGTATCAGACAGTCTTCTACGTTCGGCCCATCCGAACTTTACAGAATTCGAAAGTGTAAGGAACGCTACGCTTAGGCGTGTGCAATTCTCCGAGCACAATTCTCCGAATAACGTAGTTGTAGAACCGGGGTATCACCGCGGCGTTGCAAAAAGAGATGGGTTGCTATTGAATCACGCTATGCTTTGCTTGATGAATTCAATTGCTTGTCCGCCATGTGGAGATTGCTTATCGGTGGTGTACGAATGAACTATCACGGGAGGTGATTGCAGGATGTGCCGTGTCAAACAAGCGTTGACAGTCTGTTCAATGCAATTACCTCTATCTGCAGCAGCGTCTAATCGCCCACGCCTTGGTCAAGCCCCTTATCAATTGCTCCGCAGCCACCACTACGACCATATCCAAGCACACCACTGGTTCAAAATGAAGGCCCTCAGCATCAAACCGCTAGGATTGACGGTACAGCATAATGCGAAGATGTTTCGACGAGAAAGCTAATCAGACAGAAATAGTCCTTATGACAGTGGAAGTGGATGATATAGCAAGTGGGCCGGGGAGCTAAAAAGGAGGTAATGTGCACATACTGCCGTGTCATTCCACAAGCTCTATGTGGACCGAGCTAAAATCGAGTTACAAACTATCTCGGGCTAGCCAGTCAGCAATTCCAGACAGTGAGGGCGATCCCAGAGCACCCTCACCGTTTCTGCTGAGTACATTGTTATTACTCCTATAGATCTAAATCTTTGGCTTTGGCGAGCTTCGAGAAGTCGGACAATGATGACATTTCTCCCGGGCTTCACAGTTCAACAGGATGCTGCCATAGAGCAATCGATAGCTGGAAATGTGGTTGTCACATCATTTAGGGAAAATCGGCCCGCCCTTTTGCGTGCTACCGATAGCCAGTTCACTCTTCTGCACCAGAAGATCAAGGAAGAAATCAAGGATGTCCTTGGTTACCTTGTGTTCCAGACCAGATATAAGCAGGATGGTCCGGACTCTATTACTGTGAAGATCACAGTCAAGGACATCAAAAATGACTCTCTGTTGAACCTTGTCGCAGATATTCTTACCGTTCAACAATAGCAAAAAAGCGAGCGACAGAGCAAAGATTCGAGATAAGCATGCACATAAGACGAACGCAGAAGTTGGCAAAGCACTGGGACTGGAGAAAAGATGTGCAATCTTCCTGTGAACTTGGATCACAACGAGAATAGGCGGACTCGACTAAACCTTCAAGCATCCTTTAGCGTCCTTGACGCAAAGATCAATATCGCATCCTAAAGTATGGGCGACGCACCATCAAGGGTCTCGCACAGTACGTTAAACTTCTGAGCGCGTTATCGAGATGGAAGGCAATCTCAACGATGTGCACAAGGGTACGCTCTCAGAAGAGGGAGAGCGCTGAAACGATGCTTGAGTACCTATGCTAAAGGCGACGTACTTGGTCAATACGTTTTGAGTACCCTTGCACGATGTTTAGTCAATTCTCCTTCTGGATTGGTGCAAGTGATTGCGCATAGCTGGAATATCCTCTATTTCGTAATCTCTTCGACGAGTTCGACTGAGTCCGAACTCTTAGGCAACTAGCATGGACAGAGTGAGGCTCCAGTTTAGTAAGGCAAGTACCATCTAAGTTCTAACAAAACGAAACAACCCTGTACTGGTTTTTCAGATCGCATCAATGATGTCTGGATCTTGGTTTCTGCTTCCTTTGATTCCAAGCCCGCACATCTGATTACGGGTTACTATATTGGTCGCTTGTATTCCTTTCTTGCTTTCAATCCAGAGGGCTTCAGGTCCACATTGACTAAAACAAAAACCGAACTTCTCCCAAGATCTTTGCCATGCGCTATCAAGCTAATTGCTCATCCACACATGATCAAGTGGTTACACTAGTGTAATTGTTGATTACTCCCGTTGCAATCGCTTCATTAGCTAGCTTGCATTGAATTTCGTGTGAACATATAAGCTAGGGTCTGGCGCTGAATAATTCAACTTTCCAGTGTCGGACGCGGTGGCCTGGCGAGGATTCGTCGCTACCGCTCCCAACAAAGTTGCTCAATTTTGTATTTCTCCTTTCGAAGAGAAGTACGATAAAATACTCTCTTACTCTAACGCTGCGTTTACTTAAGCTAGGAGGCTAATTAGATCTAGGAGCTCTGGATAGGCCGATGTGCTAAAATATCCACTGCATCTCAGCCTGGATGGGGTAATTTTTGATGTAGAAGTCGGGCAAGAAAAAAGCGAGGCTGACCCTTACCTGTTCGTCAACGGGAGCCACGTTAGTAAGCCACGTTCCCTAGTTCCCCACTTCGGCTTGACCCACGTGCCCACAACGTACAAATTGAAGTAGTGTGGTGGGCCGCACATTGAAAGCCGATTGCTCCATTATCACAATTTTACTCCGAAGGCGGCTTCTGACCGGCACGGAATCAGCTACGAACACTACAGTAGAGTACGGTATATACATATGTATCTCGCGCGTCTGACAAGAGGCAATATTTGAAGTGATTCCTGAACAACACCTCAATTTTGGTCAATCCAATCACTTCTACCCTACCTATTCGAGGTCCGATAGCTTGGTCATGGATGAGCATGAGTTGCAAGTGACCAACCTTCCCGAGGTTGAAGCCGTGTCTGACCCAACCGAACGATATCTCCCACCGGTAGATGGAGGCAAGGATGCGTATCTGGTCCTGGCATCTGTATTCGTTCAAGGAGCTTTGATCTGGGGTATGCAACGATCTAGTGCGACAGGTGCAGCACTCAGGCTAACATCTATCCAGGGTTCGTGTATGGGTTCGGCGTTTTCCAAGAATACTATTCACGGCAACCGCAGTTCGCTGGTAACACATCGGGTCTTGCGGCTATTGGTACAACGGGTTCGGTTCGTTTTTCCATCAGATACTCAGTTTCGAGCTAATCCGTCATAGGGCATAATGTATCTGACCTCACCCATCGTGTACGGCTTCTTTCAGTGGTACCCAGAATGGCGTACGACCGTCAGCTTGATAGGCTTTGCCATCATGTTGTTAGGCATGGTGGGCGCTTCGTTCGCCAACTCGGTCGCAGAATTACTCGCAACACAGGGAATTCTCTATGGCCTAGGAGGCTCATTACTCTTCTTTCCAGTATATTCTTACCTTGATGATTGGTTCATAAAGCGGCGCGGCCTAGCATTCGGGGTGCTCATTGCTGGGGATGGCACAGGAGGCGTTGTCATCCCTTTATTAAGCCAGTGGATGCTTGATAAATGGGGGTTTCGAACCGCGATGCGCGCTTGGGCTATCATCAGCTTCCTCTTCTTGTCGGCATCGCTCGTCTGCTTGAAGCCTCGCCCGAAAGCTCGAAATGCCGTTGGGCCAGTCTCCCGCGGTTTTGACATGAGATTTCTCAAGAGCCCAGCTTTCTGGATCCTCCAGACCGGAAATATCTGCCAGGGACTTGGCTACTTCATGCCCATTCTGTACATGCCTTCTTTCGCTGCTGAACGGGGCTGGCCTAACATCACTGGCACTATCGCAGTTTCTCTGTGCAATGTATCCCTTGTCGTCGGTGCAACTGCGACTGGATGGATCGTTGATCGATACCATGTTACTACAGCCATTATGATCTCCTGCATTGGCACTATGGTGGCAGTTTTCATCTTCTGGAGTTTCTCGGTCTATCAGCCTATGCTATTTATATTTGCTATTACCTATGGGGTCTTTGCCGGTGGCTTCCCCGCCACGTGGTCTGGCTGCGCCAACCCGGTGCGTCGGAGTTATCCTGTGGAGAATGGCATGATTGTCGCACTGTTCACAGCAGGCAAGGGCATAGCATCCGTTATTTCTGGACCTGTGAGTGGAGCACTGGTCGAAGCCGATACCTGGAAGGGTCAGCTAGGGTTCGCATACGGCAGTGGATATGGAAAAATGATAATCTTTTCCGGTATCACCGCGTCATTTGCAAGCATCAGTTGGGTTGGGAAGCGCCTAGGGGTAGTGTAGAGGCTCAGATTCGGTTTGGATGGTCTAGAAGTTATTTCTACGGTCCATACGTATGGCAACGTCGTCAAGAGCGAATTTACCGTTTGCATCCACCTAAGAGTTCGATACACCTAATGCATTGGAATGACTACTCAGTGTGCCTGCGCTGAAACTTCGTTAAATTTTCTCCTTGTCTGACCTGGTCTATCAAACAGACTGAACATGTTGTAACTTCCTCAACACCAACACTACGCCGCCACTTGACTCATTCCCGAGCTTTCTATAGTTGTGCACGTCCTTCTCCAATACCTCGACCGTGCCATTGTCCACCAGTCTTTTCACGACCTTCTCGAAACCCCCCTCTTTCCAGAAGATTTCTAGAACGGTAGCAACGAGTATACCACCCGATTTTATAATTCGCGTGAGTTCCGGCAATGGCTCCGGCCCTATGTGACCATGCGTGAACGTCCCACTGCACGTAAGTGCATCGTAAGTACCATCCTCGATATCGAGCTTTTGTGTCAGGTCTGTAACCTCCAGCTTCCGGTACGCGCCAGTTTTGTCCGCGACCTTGAGCATGCCCTCACTCAAATCTAGTCCGTCAATTGTCTTGAAACCTAGTTCCTGAAGAGTGACCCCAACAAGACCGCTACCGCAGCCTGCATCGACTATGCTTGTGTCCGCCGGAGCAACTTTGAGGTATTTCGGGATCATCTCGGCAACAATACGATGCGCTGTGAAACTGTATGTCTGCATGTCCGCATCGTAGCTCGCCGCCCACTGGTCGTAGAGTTTGCGCGACTCATCCTTGCTCTTAGCTGCAAAGACACGGTCGAGGAATGGCTGATTTGTGGAAGCCATTGCAATGTGTGGAAAGTGTGTTTGATAAAATTTGGAGTTAATAGTTGCTTGTGTCTTTTGGATCCGTGGTTATTCAGAGCCGGACAGCACAAGTGCTACTGTCCTATGTAGGTAGCCTTGGGTGGGCTTCTCATGATGACGTCATAGCACTTGTGACTCGAGCATACACTGAAAATACCAACAGCTTCTTCATGGTGTTGAAGGGACATTCTAGGCAGTATAAACGGACTCTGACGACCATCCTTAATCATCTCTTGAAGATTGGTCAATCGCGCTCATCACGGCCAAATCATAATCAACACTGGTCACTCCCTGGCGTCACCGATCAGCGGCGCAAGCATGATCGGCTCGTATATGGACAAGGGCGTGGAAGATAGGAGAATGGCGGTGAAGTAGGGGATATAGAGGTTGACTGTGCTCTTAGTGCTACTAAGTAGCAACATTACAGACCACGGTTCTATCCTAGGTATCGCCACTTATCATAACACTAACACGTCATATCAAAGCTATTCCCACGAACGTTGCCTAAAAACACGAGATAAGAAGTGCCGAAAGAGAACATTGGTCGGCGTCAGACCTTTAAAGAGAACTATAGCATCTCCAGGCTGTTTGCTTCATACTTCTTGGCTAAATGAGTCGCTACTAATGAACGTTTAGGTAGCCGTGCAGCGCACACTATAAGGAACACAGTGACTGTAAGTTGGCGGTCGTGGTCAAGTGAGCGTGGAGGCACTGATACATTGCAACCTGGGAAGGATGACCGGAATAGACAGCACAGGTGCTGGGCGACTGGAGTAGGAGTCAGTCCACACGAAAGCTCTGACACATGGTGTTGGATGCGCAGACTTCGATCCTCACGTCAAACAAAATGAACCCATAAGCCGCAAGAAGACGTTGTCGCCTTCACTAGCTAGGCCTTGACAAGATCATTGCGCTACGGGAAGAATCCAATCTTCTAAGATTAGTACAAGTGCTGACAGCATTGACTAGTGGTCACAAAATCTCGTGTTGCACGGACACAGTTCCTGGAATGTCTGACGAACGAGCACGAATGTTCATAATCCTATCGCGCGAATGAATACGGAACCACCCCTGTCATTTTCTACAAGCGCAAATGATTGATAGCAATGGAATGAAGTTCGCGATTCAAAAAACACAAAAGCAAGAGGAAAGGATCAGCCCACTCATCGACGGCGAAGATCAAGCTCACTGAACATCGGAACATTAGCATGGAAGAATGGATACATAATGTTATCGCATAGTTGCAACACTCTCATGGATACTGCTTCCCAATTCCAAAGGCATTGAACTGGAAGTAGACGTACCAGTTAGGTTTACAGCTACAGTAAAGCCTAGCGATGGTCCCATGCATATAATATAATACGCGGGCTATAGAAAGGTCAGCCCTCTCGCTCTAGAGCCACTGCGTGCCTTCAGCCACCGCCCCATAAGCGATTATGCTACAATCAAGATGATCAAGGGCAAGCTTGGTCGAGTACCGGTTATGCAGAGCTGGCACGTAGGCACAACGTTCTCGAAGATTACTAAACCGGGTATAATGGGCTTACGTTTTGCGATTGGCTTCGGCCTACATCCTACAAAGAAGGATCGCAAAAGGGTCAAAGACTTATGCGCATGTTTGTTTCAATCCTTCTATGCTTCGCCCCACGCAATGCGTATTCTCCATTCGATCATGGCTCGTGTATCCTATGAGCCTTCGAAGCTCACGATGGAGGGATTTATAGAAATGAACTTCGTACCCTCAATCTCACACTCATCACAACACTCGCTTCGAATTTTACAATATCCACCTACAGCCTCAACACCTTCAATTTTTGATCCATCTTATCTACCTACAATCCCTATACAGTATGCGCTACTTCACCTTTCTAGTGCTCAGCACCTTGGCTAGCGCAACATCGCTTTTCCGCCGCAAAGACGACCGTTTCACAGCGGGCACTGTCTGGGATATTGTCCTCCAAGGTAAGGAAAATGATGGCAACGGCACGGTCATCCCATTGGCGCAGTTAAAGGCGGCAACAGGAGCTGTTCTCGATATCGATTTTGAGGACAATGACTCAGAGCTGAAGAAGACAAAGGGCTGGATCAAAGAGCTTGCGAAGACGAAGACGGTGGTCTGCTACTTTAGCGCTGGTACGTACGAACCTTGGCGTGAAGACCAGGAGTTGTTCAAGCCAGCGGATTATAGGAAGAAGATGGATAAGTGGGATAAGTGGTGGCTTGATCTGAAGAGTGCCAACGTGAAGACAATCATAGAGACTAGGAATAAGAGAGCTGCCGAGGCTAGATGTCATGCTATTGATCCTGACAACATCAATAGCTACGTAAGTGACGTGGCATAAAAACTCATCGTGCCATGTTGACCCTTAGCAGAGCAATGACAGCAAAGGGAAGCCACACCAAGATAGATTCAGCTACGACAATCAGGTGTATATCGACTACGTCAGGTGGCTTTCCGCAACCGCAACCAAGTACAACCTTTCCACAGGTCTGAAAAACGCACTTAAGATCTCCAATAATGCCCTCAACGTTATCGAATTTGCTGTCAACGAACAGTGCCACGAAACAGACCCAAACGACAAGGAGAGCAATTGGGACTACCCAGACTACGCAACATTCACTCAAGCAGGGAAAGCAGTCTTCAACATCAAGTACCACAACGACAAGAACATTTACTGCAAGGATCCTACTGATCCTCCTATCAATCTCTCGACAGTGCTCAAGCCGATGGGCCTGGATGTATTAGGTGGACAATGCTAGTGAGGAATATGTTTAGGTTCAGCATAAGCGCATATAGGCTGGTCCCATTCAACTTAGGATAGATGCGCTAATTCAAGAGGGCTACAGGTCATGATTAATTTGCCTACTTTTATTTTCTGGTAGGACACTTGCTTCACTGTTTACGGTACCGTTTACCTTTTTTTTTTGGTTAGAACTGCATGTGGGGGGATGGTTGAATCAGGCGCTTCAATGCTATCTCCCTGGCATCTACTTATTACTCGTTTCGATCAACACTAAGCAAAACTCAGACGCAAAGTAAGACCAATAGTCCTAGGCGGCTAACATAGTGCAATTGTGCGCTAAGATCCTCAGGGCGCAGCCATCTACAAGTAATGCTATGGTTCAAAATCCCTTATACGCCATAGACTTCCTTCCTAGAGTGTATAACAGAATGCCCACCTTTAACCCCAAGCAATCGGTCCCCTAGAGAAGACAGTAATCCCACTTCATTTTACATCCACCAAACAACAAATTTTCCTATTTTCTACGCCCTAAGGCATTACAGTCCGTCGCCTGCGTGACAAATTTCACAGCGGCTGCGGCCAGATGCTTCGGCAGTAGATTATTCCAGTCGCAGCTAGCTTGGTCGTGTACAGATCACGGAAAGACTACACGAAACGACGAAGATGCTGAGTAAAACACTATAGACCAAAGGATGTCTATTATAGTATAGAAACTAGCTCAATTTGCTGTTTCAAGATAGAGACATAGTACAAATAGAGATCCCATACTCTTTTAGTAAATAGATTGGTAGATCTATAATAACTACACGAGAGATCTATACTAGAATAGTATAGTAAGCGAGCTGTTATATAATAAGGGCATAGTAAAGGATATCTATGCTATAATAAGGAAATATAATTTCGCCAATTGGTAATAGTATCAGCACATCTCGCGGACGAGTTAGAGACGTTCAGGGAGGTTGAATAGAGTCATCAAAGTCTCTGTGATGGTAACGAAGTATTTAAAGTACTACCAAACTACGCTGATAAATTATGTGGCTCCCTGCAAAGCTCTTATCGCCGTCACTTTGGTTCACACAACCTCCACAAGTAGAGGCTAGATCTAACGTCGTAGGCCTCTGTTACTGGAGCCCTCCACCTACGTGACTTCTTCCATGCCGCTGGCTTCGAGTTCGATCTCGTGTCAGAGACCGGAACGTATCGAGCTGACTGGCTCAGCACCACGAAGGACTGGCAGCACGAGGAAGACAAAAAGGTCCGGGAAAATGACGGCGACAAGTTCTAGTCTTAACTTGATAAGCTCTTCAAGCCATCTGGATGGGCGCTTCTTTACTATTAGCATACGATTGTACTTTCATATGTCGAAAGTGCTTCCGCTTGCTGGACATGTTGGCCCAACAAAATCTCCGATGTACTCATATACTTCCTGTTTCTTAGATGTTCAGCATCGTTGTGGACATGACGTGGGACGCGGAATGGCAGCGAGTCGTCTTCAATAGCCAGTAGACACGGGCGAATCATATTAACCCAGGTATAACCGCCTTCCTATTTCCCACTTTATCCTTTCCAAACTTCTCCTCGTACCACCTCTTCCCCTGCAATGCCCTCGGCAGCATGGTCGCAATCTCATTAACCAAGAAGGTCCTCGCGGGGTGACACCTCCAACCGCCCACCGCCCAGAATCCCGCCCACTCAACCCACTCACAAAAGTAATGCGCATACAGCACATAGCCAAACAGACCATTCTTCGGAATCATATACACCTTCTCCACGCCTTCGACGGGCTTGCCAGTCATCTCAGCTTCCTTGCGCTGCTTGCGGTCTGCGGAACGGCGAATCTCACGGAGGTCGTCGTCGTGGAAGGCATTGCCGAGGAGACCCCACGCCCAGATGATAAGCCCAATTTCCATGGACCAGTAGCGACCTTGCCAGTCGGTTTGAGTGACAGGCCCGTAGCCGGCCAGCCAGCCGCCGATGGAGATGGCATTGAAGATTTGGAAGGCGGCCATGCCGAGGCAGAGGATGGGGTGCATAGGGGACATGCTTGGGTTGAGGACAAGCGGAGAGAGGACGGCGCGGTAGACGTAGTGAATTGTCTGTATCGAATCTTGGTTAGTGCACAGCAGGGGAAGTGGATGCGCGAGGGGGACGCACGAAACAGCCCGCCATTGTCCAATTGCCCCACGGCAGCGTCTTGATGCCTTGTTGCTCAGGTAGCGTGTACATGATGTACAAGAGGGTAGCGAAGCCCGTAGACTCGGTGATGGCCCAGCCCCATTTGCCGGGGATGTTGAGGCGCGACTTATTCGACGTTTTGCCCATTGGATACCAGTCCAGTACCCACTGGAGAGATGTCACCTGCACAGCAAGTGAGCCATGTTGTCGCAACGGTCTTGCGCACAATATGCTCAAATCCTAACATACCACGGGGAAGTACTGGAACAGTGTGCACGCGGCTTGCCATGTGCTGCGCGATGGCGGCAGGACGCCTGGGATGAGGACCATTGGGATTCAAAGTTCTCCACTGAGGTGCAGCTGTTGTGTGCGATGTGCTGTTGAGAGAGTGGCATGTAACCCATGAATGGGAGATGGGCGCGAAATGATGAGGTCATGTCACAGACAACCTCGCGGCCGCGCCAAGCCTATTGGGAGGGTTGGCTTGCTGGGTGAGCTCCGTGCCCGCTGAGCACAGGGTAGCCTTCTTTTTTCGCAGATTCAAAGAGAAGAGTTCGCAATTCGGTAGCACATGGAACGAAGAGACCAAGCCGACGGGAAGGAAGACGTCCAAATGCTCGCATGGGCAACCGCGCCGCCATGCAAGCGTCTTGGCTGCCAGCCGCCCGCCGTCGGCAACACGACCCAACGCTCACCCGATCGTGTTTGCGGCGTCAAGTGTGTATGGCGATGGGCATAGTCGTCCGATGTTGGTGCTGCTTGGTACGCTACCATTCAGTGCCAAACACCTCACCGTGTGGCGCTCTTCAGCCAGCCTCGGGTCCCCTGAGCTAGATGTGCCCTGATGGTGATGACTACAACAGACAGCCGATTGCAGCAAGTCCAATACAGCAGTTGCATGGATGGGGGTGTAACGTGCCGAGGAAACGCTGGTATTAATAGCAAGGGTTCACAATGTTGTTTGACGACGAGACGTGGAGTATGACGCCGGGCCCGGTGGGTTGCCCTGCAAGTGGAGGAGCGCGACGTGATGCAATTGCGAACATGCGACTCAGCAACGCGGTGGTGCCGTGCAGATGGGCAACAGTTGAGGAGATGGGTCTTTTGGCGCCGTCAGCACTGCCCACACGAGGAGCGGAGTTGGCCTGGAGGCGTCGCCCGCGCGGCGCTTCCCTTGCCCCGTGAAGAGGAAAACCACCACGCTGCCCTCGCTGCAATCGTCCTCGTCCTCGCCCTCATTCTCGTCGCCCTCGTCGCATGCATCGTGTGGTTCCGCCATCCTGACCGTCGAGCCCCCCCGTTGCGGTGCGTGCCTTGAAGGCTTGACGTGAGGCCTTGTTTGCCGGGTCCCGGTCCCGCGTGTTCCAAGCTCGCCAGGGTCAACACGAAGCACGGGCAGGCTGCTCCTGCGATCGTCGCCTCCTCCTCGCTGCTTTCTCCACTCCTCTGCGCGCGCTGTCGACCGTCCCAGTTCGCGCTGCTGGATTCGCCGCCATTCTCCACAAATCACTCGTCAACAAGCGACACCATCTCACTCGCGAGCTCCCGTCCACTCGTGTGCCGAGAAGCGTTGCTCATCGCTCCTGCCTGACACGTTCCACGACTAGGAAGCCGCTCGTATCGCTTCTCTGACACAGCAACCACTGCCACTCAGGCCTCAATTGCCTAGCACAGGGCCACCTCACCGCATCCCACCCTTTCTTCCTCACCACCTACCGCGATGTCTGCCAACAACGGCACGGCCGGTACGTCTCCTTTCGTTGATTCTCCGACACCTTCTTCTTCTCCTTCTCCTTCTACTGCTTCGCCCGAGCCTTCTGCTGCGCAATCCTCTCCTTCACAGCCCTCTCCCTCTCAGTCGCAACCGAGCCTTGTTCCAACATCGCCTTCTGCAGCCTCCTCCACAGCTGAGCCCTCTGTGAGCCCGTCGCCTTCGGCCGCACCCTCGCAGCCCTCATCGCAGCCACCACTTTCGTCCGATTCCGTAACTGAGCCTTCTTCAGCGCCGACCAGCGAGCCGGCAACCTCATCGCCTGTGTCGCTCCCGACCAGCGAACCGCCCGCGTCGACCGAACAACCTCAGTCGACCGAAGCAACCCAGTCGTCGGCACCAGAGCCGTCCTCAACCGATGCACCAGCCTCTTCAGCGCAACCATCGTCCGCTGCACCCTCGTCCGACCCGCAAGACACGACGTCCACTGTCACCGCCAAACCGACACCCACGTCGACCCAGGTTGTCACTTCCGTCGTCACTCCCAGCGCGACGAGACCCGATGAAACCCCGACACCCATCACCGTCGTTCAAACCATCGTCAAGTCGAGCACGCCGGATCCTACGACAGATGCTGCATCGCCGACGAGCTCGGGAACCGTCTCAACAGACCCCGCATCACTCCAAAACCCATCGAATAAGCATGAAACTGGCGGGCTAAGCCCCGCCGGGAAGACGGCCATCGCCGTCGTCATTCCTGTCGTTGTCGTCGCACTGCTGCTGCTCGCCGGAATCTGGTTCTGGCGGAAGCGCAAGTCGAAGAAGAGTGCAGAGGAGGCGCGCAGGAAAGAGGTGGAAGAGTATGGCTTCAACCCCAACGAGGACCCCACTCTTCCTGCAGTCGGCATGCAGTCGGAGATGGCCGAGGATCAGAGCGGATACAGAGGATGGGGCAACACCACCACGAGCTCCAACCGCAAGGCCTCTACCACCCTCACCAGCGGCATGACCTACTCGGACAGCAACAGCAACCCTGGGGACGTCTTCGCCAACCCCGGATCGCCTACGAACGCGTATTCTGACGCCCATTCTGGCGACCCTCTGGTCAACGGCCGAAGGGAGACGATGGACTCAGATGGCATTGGCGCCCTGGGTGCCGCTCCCCGCTGCCAGCCAGAACAAAGACGGTGTCCATCGCGGTCCGTCTAACGCCTCTTCATCCTATTCTGCCGCCGACCGATCAGACAACTCGGGCGACTTTCCCCTCCCCATGAACCATCCGCAGGAGTACTACGACAACAATGGTAACTATTATCCCTCCTCCGGCCCGTATGATAATTCGTACGGTGGAAACCAACAGCCCATCATAAGAGACGTGTCTGCGCGGCGGAACACGAGGATCGAGAATCCGTCCGTGTTCCCTCAACAAGGAAACAGCGGCATCGCACAGAACTTTTAGGTCACTGATTGACCACAAGACCTCTTGATGTCTTTCCTATTTCTGTCAACAGCATCTCGATTAAATATCCACGGTGGCGTTAGTCGGCGATTTTGCAGCACTTCTTCGAGATGAGTTTGGTCCTATCGTCCCTGTTTTTTCCTTTTCACCTGCATCGAGCGCGGGTATCGGCTCTTGAAGGGGTGGTTTGATGGCAGTATGCTGTACTGTGTTGTACCGTGTGACGGGTGCAACGGAAAGCGGAAGACCCCGTGTTTGTGCGAGGGCGGCGACGTATATATGTGTACACACGTGCGTGTAGGTGGTACAAGAAAAGTGCGGCATTCACTTGGACTGAAGGTTTTCTTAGAGTTTGTTACTAGGTTTTCGGAACGAAGCGGGCTTTGCCGCGAGAGTAGAGTGAGAGGTGCGAGCGGATATATATACCTTGTAATGGATCAAAGTTCAATTGCCTCGTCGTACGCTGAGGTTGAGCCTGGTGTGAGACGTGCAGACGGTGCGGATCTGGATGGCAGTGATAGCGAACGAGATCCATCGATGATCCGCAAGATGTACAATGCCATGCGGCTATTCCAGCATCTGCTTTTCCAACCCGGCTGCCTCCCACCATCGTCCACGGGCAGCTCCTCATCGTCACCTTATGTATAAATCACAACATTCATTCTTCCTTCAGGAAACCAATGGACGGAATACAAATGAACCGCAAGGAGATGTATTGCCCTACAGATTTATTATGTTTGAAAAGGTTATGATACATCCTTCGAACGTTCAAACAATGGCTTTCTGCTGACCAGCATTAAGGAGCCAGGTTGCGTCCCAGTCTTAGCCAAGCTACGCCATGCAGAAGCAACAAGTAGGGTTTCTAGGTGACTGGGGATTTGAAAAAGGCTGGAGTTGAGAAACCTCGTATTACGGGACGGTGTGTGCAGCCGAGTGAATCTTTTCTACTGTCCCCGGAACAGCCTTGCAATGCCTTCGCTACCAGAATTCCACTAACAAGCCGCAGTTATCTAATGACTTGACTATGCGGACGATATGTCTTCTCTCACCGATCTTGTTCCTCCGGCTTCCATCCGTCATCATCTTCGCTGATAACGATTTCGTGCACCTTCAACCTATTTTCTATGATCTCCTTACCGTTCACAAGATCACTCTCGTCTGCCCTTCTAGCGGCGCTTCCTGCATCCTCCGCGATGCCTGCTTTGACGTGACGATGGATCAGACGCTTCCTAGCGACTTCCATGTCAACGTCTACAAACCATAATTCATTCATCAGTGCTGCGGCATCGCTCCAGGGCGCCTTGTCGAGAGAAAGATAGTTGCCTTCGAAAATGATGATGTGGATCGAAGGTGCAATGGCAATGTCATCAGCGACTAAGAGGACAGGTTAGTGAACGACATACACCCACTTTAGTCACACTTGCCCGGATCTTTGATCGCATGGTCGAACGACGGCGCGAACAGGGTCTGCGTCTCGGGACACAGAGGCTCCCTCAGCTTCTTGACAAGTTTCAGGAACGAGTCGCCATCGAACGTGAACTCGGCCCCACGGCGAGCGTGCGCCGAGACAGGATCAGGTAAGGCATCGAGCTGCCGCCTCGAGAGGTGGTAGCCATCCATAGGGAGGAAGGCTGAAAGCGGGTTGCTGTTGGAAGTGCCAGGGGAGTGTTGAGCATGCAGCTCGTTGAGGCGGTTGGACACTATGGCTGCGAGAGTGGTCTTGCCTGCGTCGAGGCATAAGAGGTTTTCCTAGGGGTGAGTAGAACACCTGGCGTACCTGAGCCCGGTATCCCTGATACGGCGATGAGGAGGCGCTTTGAGGGCGGAACGTTCTGATATGTTTCTTTCGTGTGTTAGTGTGTCGTGCCATGCAACGTGGGGAGGGGCAAGGACTCACCCCAGGCCTTCTTTACGAGACGATCGACTTGCTCCTCCATATCGCGTGCTTGTAGGTACTTGTAGTGTGCGGATGGCGCGTCCTAGCGCTCTTTTCCAATAGTGCCGTACACGATCTTATGTATTCGTGTAGCAAGGCAAGAGGAGAGGCTTCGTTCAAAACAAGATTTTTCCACGGGTGCAGAGTGCAGAGGCTATCCTATTTTGCTTTTCGGATAAGCCTGCCGCGGGCGAGCTGCAGATCGTGAGATCCGGCCATGGTGTTGGCTGGCACGGCCCGATGACGTCGAATTGCGGGGGATAATAAGAGCACACGTGACCCGCCTCGAGTAAAGTACTCTGGCCTTCAATCAACGTCACATTCAGGTTGGGGATGAGTAGACTTGACGAGAGGAGGCGTCTTCATGTTGCCCAAAGCGTTAAGTAGCGACCGTGGCATGGGCGGAGGCTGGCCAATAATAGGCGGGTTCGGTCAAGGGTTCGTTATTGCGCACATGTGCTGCTGAATCTGCAAACTGCCTGCCAACAGCTCCTACCGTGGACCTTTCTATCCCAGTCACAGCTTTTGACACTGAGCTACCTGCCACCGAGTATTGCATCACATAGAGCCTTCATTGATGCAAACCCACGTCACCGCAAAGGCAATTCCGCCATCCACGCACGCCATGCGCGAGCTCGTTGGGAATAAGAGTGTGTGTAGTCTGAAGCGGACACGGTAAGACTGACAACGGAAACGAGAGATAGTGAGCGCGAGTGAAACAAAGCTTCCAACGAATGTATTTCCAAATGAGTGACTGTTGGACCACGATATCAACTCCGCGTCAGTTCCCTAGATGGCCTCCCAGTTTTCTACTTCCACCGAAACCCTTCGCCGATATTACGGTACCTTTATGCCACTACGATCAATGAAACTTGCGCACATGGTTACCCAAGATGTTGTCGAAGCGCTTCCCCCTTCCCTCAAGCATCAATTGACATCCTTACACCTGATCCACGCTGCTACACGTCAACTCGCGCCTCCATAACTTCATTTCGAGTCACAACTCACACAATGTTGCCACCAGGGGTAAAACGGTATCTGACTAGAGCTGTCTCCTCTGCTACTGCTGATGCGTCCACAGTCGCAGTGTATCCGGTGTATCCCGTATAGTAGCCCGTCGCTTCGACCCCAGATGCAATGACTGTGGCAATCGACTCGTCACCGACCCAAGAGGCCATGATTGTAGCAGTTGGTTCGTCGCCGATCGGAGCAGCCTCGACGGCGGCAAGGGCAGCCAGGACTGACACAAGAGTGAAGCGCATCGTCGAGAACCGAGAACAAGTGATATTTGGAATAGTCAGGTGCGAGCTTGATACGATCCATCTTGCGAGACATCAGGAGTTCTTATACTGTCATCCACCGTGCGGAAGAGCTCGCCATGACCTCGTCTGTTGCGGCTCTGGACTATCAGACCGCTTTTTGGCCACGAAACACGCAATGACGCTTCATGATCTCGCACATTAGGAAGCAAAGTACGTACAAAAGGACCAGGGGATGTCCCAAATTAGGAAGGATGAGGCGTTTACACTCACGAGTCCGGGTCTCTCTTGGTGGCCGCGTGTTACTGCATTCATGCCTGCACTTGGGCCATACGCTTGGCGCCTGGCTGGAGTCACGGAACCAAGAGCCTCGGACACGCAGTCATAAAGCAGGATTTTATAGGCTTGGTGCGCAAGTGTGCTCGTGCTGCGTGCGCTCGATCCGTAGATTTCCGCATCAAATACGCGAGCAATTCGACTACAGGCTCTGCATCTTTTCGAACGTCGGCAACAACAAAGCAGCATGGCAACTTCCTGGTAACATTGTCAGCATCTATAGGCTTTGAATGGAACAAACCTTTTCTCCATTTGCGTTCAGAGGGAGTATTGCGTAGAACCTTCACGTCACCAAATCCACACCAGTCTCAATCCTTCGCATGTACGACTACGCGTCCTCAAGCGCAGGGTAGTGCCGGACACACAATGATGAGAAGCCTCGCTTATTTCGTCCTTGATATGACCAATCCACCTACAAGTACGGAGGTAAGTGACGTCCTGGCCGGTCTGTGCTTGCAGCTTCTCGCGAAGAAACCGGGGCGCGCCAAAGGAGCGAAGGCTGAGCAGTACTCGGTGCCAGTTCCGCATCATGTACACACCCACATTTATCCATGAGTATGGATATTCGACCACCAGTCAGCGTGTTTATACGGAATCCAGCGAACATCTGAGTGCTTAAGTATCGGGTTCAAAGAATGTTAAGATCATGTGAACATAATAAATGGGAATTTCATTGCTCGTGATAATGCTGAAAGGGTATACTTCTCCTTCGTTGCGCTAAACTCTCCATGCTCTGCTTACTCGGGTCAAATTTGAACGCTTGCAACGTATGAATCTCCTCTCTCAACTGCTCGGGGCTCATGTAGTCTCTTGTTATCCTATTGGTTGGACTTCGTATACTATCATGTATATCACTGCTTGACGCTTTGGGCACGTGTAACGGCTTCGGCACCGTCTTCGTGCTGTTGTCCCTGCTCATAGCGGGAGTTTCAGAAGTAGAGTTGAGCCCCATAGACTGTGAATACATGCTGCTGCCAGATGACGGTGGGCCGAGGTGCGTGTATCGATGCTCGTGAGGGAGTTCGAACTCCTCGCTCATGGAGGGCGGGCTCTGTTGGAGTTCGTTCATTTCGACGAATTGGTTAGGTGCTTGGGGCTGTTGTGTGCTCTTGCGGGAAGTGATCTGCATAGTGTCGCTCCGTGAATTATTCAAGGTGTTGTTTCGAGATTTCTCGCCTCGAGATAGGTTGAAGGTGCCGCTTCGGGACATGTTGCTCAGGCCGCTCCGTAGAGAGTTGAACGGGGATGAGGCTTTGGACATGGCGCGCTTGAGCTTCTTGCCTTTAGCCTGTATCAGCTTGGGGAGACAGAGGGCGCATGCGACCACAAATCCGAGCGTGCATTCAGTTTCGGTCCAGAGACCGATAAAAAGGGCATTATGTGAGACGTCGGCTTCGGTGATCACAGGGGCGATCTTGACTGTAAATACAATGCGCATAGCCGATGCAATGCACGCTCTGACGATGCATTAGCGAGAGTTGACTCCCAATGTTTTGGAGTACTCACAGCAGACCCGTAGCGAACAACAATGTAACTGCAATCTTACGACCCAGCGGAACGTTCAGCTTCCACAATCCAGATGTTGGAAGTATAAGGATAATGATGTCGGATGCCATGTTAAAAGCACCCTGTGCCAATGTAATGTCGTTCACATCGGAGCACTTCGCATCAGGTGTGAGCTTGTCCCAGATAGCTTTCCTTGGATGGCAATAAAACGCGGTCCAGAATATCAGAACGGTATAGAGAATCGTGCACGAGATGATAGTCCCCCAGGCACCGAAGAACATGGCCTGGTTGACGCTGCGACTTGGTGCGAACAGGCGAAGGTACTGGACCAGGATGGCCATCTTTACGAAAAAACTTAGTGGACAGTAGACCAGTTGTCCTATATTCGCCCACTATCTGGGTCAGCTTGGCGCACAATTGTCAAGAAGCACATGGGGGCAATACATAGAGCTGGTGAAACAGTTGGTCATTCGTGACCTGCCACTGATGTACGCCAGAACCCCACTTCACCATCTGATAGCCGATCCCCACTTCTGCTAAGATGAGTGGCTATGGCACGTTAGCTGTGAGGTGGGACTGTCACTTCTAACGACGTACGAAGGTCAGAAACAGGAAGTCTATCAGCATGTCAGTGTTCAGCCCCAACGATACTGACTTGAGGAAGCACTCACAGTCCGCAAGCTCGAACGATTTTACTATCGCCAGCTTTGTATATACCCGTATCATAAGGAAGATTCCAGCAAATGCAATGCAAAGAATCGATACAATCAAAAACCAGTTCTGATCCGGCGCATCCAACGTCATTGTCCTATCCGCTCCAATTGGTACAGCATCGCCCATCATACCGGGCAGCGCGAGTAGTATGGGCCTCGGGTCTACATTAGGTGGGATTCCCAGCGCAGCAGCAAGCTTCGCTGGATCTTCTCTGGCAAAGATGGCATCGGCTATGGGCGCCATATTGTATCAGTGATTGTGTTCGTGGTCGCGCAAACGGTGGAAGCCAGATTGGCGCAAGCAGTAAAGTGGGACATGAATCGACCGAGAGCCGGCAGACGGGTTGCAGAAACGTGCATGTTATGGGTGATGGGATCGGACTTTGGCCGTGCTCCTGTCTACTCTCCGAACTCTCGGGCCTGATGTGTGTTCTGAAACGGGCAGTGGGATAAGAGGCACCCTCCAACATCGCCACAAGAAACACGCGTGGGCAAGTGGCGTAGAGCACCGGATACACGCTTGCTTGCACGCTACAAATTGCGCCGCAGTGACGTTCTCCACCCAGCTCTGTACTGCACTGTGCGACAGCTGGGCGCATGTCGTTCGCACGAGCGTAAAAAAACGTACTTTTCGGGGGTTGGGGTCCAGGTTGGGGGCCGTGGCTGGGATGATCGACAAGCGAGCCCTGTGTGATTGCTTCGGACTTCAAGTGGTCGATGCTTGAACACCGAAAGCCACGAACGCCTTATAACGTGTCTGGAGTATAGTGCTGTAGCACGTGGCGGGAGGCTGATGTTCCGTTTTCTCGAAGCTTTTTAATGCATAGGATGACCCGTAAGGCAGCCTTCCGTGACCTTTTGAGTCACGCTACCGGCGTCCGGGGATGCCAGGTCTGACGTGAAAGTCGCTTGTCTCCACGTGGCGGACCTATTCTTAGCGCCATACGTATGCAAACAACACCTGGGGTAGCGGGTGCTCGTGGATAATCAACTTTCTGATTGTACAGAGATCATGACTCCTAACTCCGCTAATAATCCTCTCATAGACGGCTACCTCGAATCCAGCATCCGCCTGGTTGTGGCACCTCCACGGGACCAAGCGCACATCGATCGCTTGGGCGTCATGTACATGGGACGGATCAAGGATCCAACTGACTTGGTTCCTGTTGCCGACTCGCCCGTTCTACAGCGTCCTGGTCTGACTAGTACACATGTGCTAGATGGGGACGGAAAGCCGGGTAAGACGGGAGAGTGGGTGAACCAAAGGATCATCAAGAATCTCGGAGACGGGACGGAAAGTGCAAGGATCGATAATGTGTAGAGCGATGTTGAGATTGCAAAGGGCGTCTGGATCAAGTACTATGAGTAAAGACAGATTTGATGCATCAGTCGAGAAATTACGAGCATCACGAGGGAGTGACACGTCTTAAACGTCGGTGATGTTGACGTTCCATTATTGGTACTGTAAACCAAGTCATCGAGAACGCTGACAGCAACGGATACCAAGTGCGCGACTCATCCAGCAATCGCACCGCCTCCACTGAGACCGGACTGCAATCGAATAAAGCGCGTGGCTTTCCCTTCCCACGTGCGTGTGCGACCTTCCGTTCACGTCTTCGAGATATGCTAGTCCCCCTTCCCACGAACCTTCCCCCACCCCTTCCTGACACTGTCACTAAAACTCCAATCATTAAACAACCACGCATTCGCATGCCTCCCGTAGTACCGAAACTCCGGCACGCTCTTCGCGCTCTTCGCGCTCTCGCTGCTCTCCCTCCTCCGTTCCCCCATATGCCCAATTCTCGGCTTCGAAAACTCTCCCCGTCCAACCTCAGCGCTGACTTTACACTCACATAATGAAGACCCGCTGCGTATGTTAAATGAGGAGAGGTGCGAGATTTGCGTTTCGGATGACGAGGTGGTGGACTTGGTTGCGGTCTTGCGGGAAATGGGCAGGCGCGAGACGCTGGAAGTAGTATCGGAGGAGGTTCTTGCTCGGGAGAGTCGGGGGAGTCGGGAGACGTCTGGACAACGTGTCAGTAGGATAGCAGATGGTGAAGGAAAGGGAGATTTTACGGTCTCCATTGGTGGGGGTGGAGTGCCACTTTTGGATGCAATTGAGTCTTTCGGTTAGATCGCGAGGGTCGACAGTGTCGTTGTAGTGGTCTTTCATCGGGGTTGGATTAGAAGTGAAACGCTGGGTGCGACCTGGATGACAAGGTCGCAATGTCGACAGGTAAGTTGAAGCCTGGTTGGTGTCTTCACGAAGTATGTGAAGGTGTTGTGTTGGTAGGACCTGATGATGTGTTTGTGCAATGGTTGAGCAGTCAGATGTTGTATTCAAGATCAAATATGAGATTCACATGATTCAAACCCCATTCGTCCCGCGAGATGCCCTGTCTTATATATCCTCAGCGTCCAACGTAGTCAAGCTGTCGCGGCGAGGGCATGGCCGCATACCCGTCCCAAGTGGATCATGGTTCGCCCAAAAACATGTCAGCGGCCCTCAATCCGCACTTACATGGGCACGAAATCGGCACACACGGCTCCACGAGGTACGTCTCCGCGAATCTCGCAAGTTTCCCAGTTACACCCCGTAAATCTGTTGGTCTGTGCACGCCTCTCAGCGACACAAGGCTGCACCGACAGCCGCACTAATGCGTGGAGGGAAGACCTCGTGACCAGAATGCATCCGATTGTCCCGACCGAGTACCCGAACGGGTAAAGCGGTGGCTCCTGATTGCGTGGCTGATGCGTGGCTGACATGTTGTTCTCGGCACCAAGGCACGTTTTGCACTGCGATTCGGTCGCAGATTAGGTCTCCGGTCAGACAGGCTTGGCCTTGCTTCTCCGGGATCTTGCACGCGACGGGAGTCATGGTTGAAGGGGCATGGTTGACGAAGCGGAGTGCCTTGCACAGTTTCCTAGGTGAAATGCGTTGTTCGGGGTACGATACTTATGGTAGCCTGCACAGTGAGAGCAGCCCTAGAGATTCTGGCAACAAGTGAGACCTCGGCATGTACACTACCACGTGACTACCTCTGCGTTTGGGTTTGAAAATGTTCAAGGTCGCGTGGAGGCATACCCATCGTCATACACGTTATCTCCGGCACCCTGTTTCGTGAAGGATCTTTCGGGCGTCATTGCAGATACGTGTTGCAAGGATGAGAGCCCAGGCGCATTCCACTCGAGCGTTTGAGCCTCGGCAACCTGAATGATGAAAGTATACATTTGACATATCCCAGATTTACAACGCCGTAATGCCAACGACGTCTACCTCCACCTAGCCCTAGTCAGACAACTCGTTCGCCCTCGTAACCTCCTCTCTCTGCTCGGCCGCATTCCTGGCCAATAGATTCAATGCGCTTCCTGCCAGTACGAACCCGCACTGATCCTCGCTCAATGTGTGCTTGGTCTTGATGATCTTTTCACTTCCATCCTTCTTCTTGATGACCAATTCGACCTCGCCCTTGCCTCCACTCCTCAGTACGTCCAACAACCCCCTCGTGGCAACCTCATCGCACGCATCGAAGAGGTCGTAGTCCGCCTCGTTTGCAAATGTCAGTGGAACAACACCCTGCTTCTTCAAATTCGTTTCGTGGATACGTGCAAATGACTTGGAAAGGATGATGCGGCCGCCGAGGAATCGCGGCTGCAGCGCAGCGTGTTCACGTGCAGAGCCTTCGCCATAATTGTGCTCCGCAACGACAAGCCACTCTTGCCCATTCTCCTTCCACTTCTTCGCAAGCTCCGGGATACCGTACTTGCTACCATCCGTATCGTATGCGACGTTGACTTCGTCAGTCTCCGCGTTGATGGCGCCGATGAGCGTGTTCTCTGAGATGTTAGTAAGGTGGCCCTTGTATTTGAGCCACGGGCCTGCAGCAGAAATGGTGTCCGTTGTGCACTGGCCCTTGACTTTATAAAGGACACGGAGAGCTTCAAGCTCGGACTTGGGGAATTCAGGGAAGGGTTTGAGAAGTTCCAGACGGCTAGAATTAGGGTCGACGATGACTTCGACGCTTGGGTCGGGAACACCCGGTGTGGCAAAGAACTCAGGGTTACCGTCTGCAAAGCCCGCTGAAGGAAGGTCGAAGCCCTTGGGTGGTGAGAACTTGAAAGCCTCGCCGGATGGTGTGGAAATACTGTCGGTCATAGGATTGAAAGTCGTAGATCCGGAGTAAGACATTGCTGTGATGAGTTCAGGAGAAGCAAGGAAGTTCATGGTACCTCGGTTGCCATCATTGCGACCAGGAAAATTCCGGTTGTACGAAGTGAAGATGGCATTGGTTTCGCCCTTGGGTATACCGTCTGTGCGAGACCATTGGCCTATGCACGGGCCTAATGAATTGAGTCAGCTCTGCCATACTGTCACAAGTATGGGGCCTAGAATTAGGTGTCCACATATTGAGTAAGGGGTGGGTGCATTGAGTCCAGCCCAGGTCATCACAACGAAAGAAGAAAGTGTGACTTACCGCACGCGTTTGCGAGAACAGTGCCACCAGCAGAAGTAAAGGTCGAGAGCGTGTTGTCACGATCCAGAGTAGCCCTGATCTGTTCGCTTCCAGGAGTGATGAAGAAGTCCGCTTTGGGCTTCAGACCAGCAGCTTCTGCTTGCTTGACGATTTCCTCAGAACGTGTCATGTCTTGATAGGAGCTGTTTGTGCAACTGCCGATCAGACCAGCGCCAAATGTTCTAGGCCAGTCCTTCTCTTCGACTACTGACTTGAACTTGGACAGTGGCGTCGAGAGATCTGGCGTGAAAGGTCCGTTAATGTGGGGTTCGAGAGTGGAGAGATTGATAGTGATGACCTTGTCGTATTCGGCTTCGGAATCAGCGCGCAAGAGATTTCGTTGCATGGGCGAGTTCGCAATCCTCGATGCTTCCTCAGCAATAGTCTTGCGGTGAGTAGCCTCCAGGTACGGTACGTGGGCTGGAGAGAAGGGAAACAGAGACGTCGTAGCGCCAACTTCAGCACCCATGTTACCTGCGAACAGCGTCAGCTTAGCCCAGAGAAAACAACTAGAATAGTTACGTACATATTGTAGCCATGCCAGTGCAGCTGAGTGATTCAACGCCAGGGCCGAAATATTCGATGATGAATCCAGTTCCGCCCTAGTATACGTTAGCTAATGGAGATCTCTTGTAATCGGGCTTGACGTACCCTGACTGTGAGCTGGCCTGCAAGGTTCAGAATCACATCCTTTGGCGAAGCCCATCCGCTCAGTTCGCCCTCCAGCCTGACACCCAAAATCTTAGGCGCTTTTAACTCCCACGGTGCATCGACAAGAGCGTCCACCGCATCCGCACCACCGACACCAATTGCAATGGCCCCGAGACCCCCCGCGTTAGGTGTGTGACTGTCGGTGCCGAGCATCATCAAACCAGGAGCCGAATAGTTCTCCAATACAGACTGGTGAATAATACCCGCACCAGGCGGCCAGAATTCAATGCCGTACTTCTTCGCGGCACTTTCCAAGAAATCGAACACCTCCTTGTTTCCTGCGATTGAGTTGGGCAAGTCGGTATCCGCGCCCTTCTCACCGACAATCATATGATCGCAGTGAATGCTGGCTGGGACTGCAGTACTGGGTAGGCCACAAGACATGAACTGCAGCAGTGCCATTTGCGCTGAGGCGTCCTGCATAGCCACCCGGTCAGGCTTGAGCTTGAGATTTGCCTTGCCCCTCACATCCTTGCCATGGTAGGTATTGGTGAGTAGCGATTCTTCAGGGTTCGCAAGATGCGAGTACAAGATCTTCTCAGCGAGGGTCAATTGCCTCGTAGAACCGAGCACGCGACGAACTTCTTCCAGGCGAGCGAGCAGCTTCTGGTATGGCGGCGTGCGGGACACGATGTCGGATTTCTGGGACGGCGAAACGTTGTGGGAGGTCGCGAGACATCTTCGCGAAGATAGGTGGGAGGTTCGGAGAGAAGCGTGTAGCAGTGACTGGAGATATCAGCGCTCAATGTTTCCTAAACAGCATCGCATGCTTCTTGTGGAGGCGCAAGAGGTGGACAGAACGCTGTAGCGCATCAGGAGAGGACTCACTCTGCAATTGGCAGCCTGTCCTGCCCGCATTGCTTGCGCCCGCATCGTTTCAGAAAGCTCTGGCACAACGCGATGGAGGCGGAGGACGGCGAATGTCTGTCTCGAAATTTGTCGATTGCGAAGTCGGCCCGGCGCAATCTGGGGTAGCTCGAGCCAATCAGAGCCGACTCGGAGTCATCAGGGTTCACGCATACACAATCCGAACACGAAGAATTATTCAAAGAAGATTTAATGCTATCCTAATAGGTACTGTGATATAAGCGGGCCGAGGCCGCCCACTCGATACGCTTGAGCTTAATGGTAGTGGTTTCTCTCGGCATTGAGTCCACATGCAGGAAGTTGACCGACAGGATACCGCTCTGAATCAGGAATGTAGTGGAGGAACTACAATGACAGTAAAGGAATTTCCAACCTTAATACTTACAAACCAGGAGGTGGTGGAACCTAGGACAATTAGCTCGGTCACATGCTAGAAGGCTGCATACGTACCGCGCCATAACCTGCAGGAGGCGAGCCAGATGGAGGCGGAGGCGGTGGAGCAGCACCGGGAGGAGCAGGCTCTCCAGGAGGAGGCGGAGGTGCGGCTGCAGTACCTGGAGGAGGCGACTGCTGAGTTCCTGCTTGAGCTTGCTGCTGTTGATAGTACGCGTAGTACATCTGCATGTACGCCTCGTAACCACCGTAGGCTGCATATGGGTCCTCGGCTTGCTGTCCAGCCTGACCATGTTGACCCTGTTGCGCATAGTATGCAGCCCATTGTGCGTTGTAATCTTGAGCAGCTTGGTTGGTCACACTGCCTCCTCCGACGGGAGACTGCAGGTCGGAGTGGCCATTGTGCCCACCATAACCGCCGTAGCCACCACCATGCCCATAGCTCTGACTGCGATCGCGATCACCACGGTCTCCATAGCCGGGGCGTCCTCCTCCATAACGGTCGCCTCCACCGCCGAACCTGCCTTGCGATGCGTTCTCCTTGAAAGATTGGTAGTCTCCCCTCACTTTGTTGAGAAGCTCCTCGCACAGCTCTTTGGCCTTTTCAACGCCCTCGGGTTTCGGTCCGGCGATATGAAGGAACATGGGTTCATCACTCTCGGCGCCAGTCTGCTGCTCCATGAAACCTGATCCACGGCCTTTGATCTGAACTTTACAGCCTGTTTCTTGCTGGATGTACTTGACATTGTCGCCGCCGCGACCAACCACTTGCGCGCGTAGGTTGAAGCCGCTGATAGGCTCTAGGTCGACAGGAAGCTTCTCTTCGGGCCATTTACGCTGCGACTGTCAGCTCCGACCATAGTCTACGGCGAGACAACGTACCCTCCCGAATTCGTCGCGCTCGAACTGCTCTGGCTCACGGCGACGGAATCTACGTTGATCAACCAAGTCGGGCAATTCCTGGTTCATCAGATCTTGAATCTGCTGTGCGGCCGCTTCAAGACCTTCTTTGGAGGTGCTGGTAACGCGCAGGTACAATGGGGGGTTCTGCGGTATGTCAGCTACAAGTCGCAAATGCGCTGCTCCGTACTTACAGCAGCTGTAGCCATGGCTTTGTCGGGGTAGTATTCGCCTCGTGTTGTGACATCTTATGCACGTATAAGCAGGTTTTCTAAAAGGTTAGGCAATGTTCGGGAAGAGCGTACCGGCGCCTGTCTCGTCTTTGATCTAGATGTCACAGTAGAGGTCAGCAACTGCAGTATGTGTGGGGCGGCTAGATGTCTGTAAGCTCTGAAAATGCTCAACAATGGGCTCCCGCTCCGACTGATGGTAGGCTAGCAATGCAGCCAGCTGGAAACACAAGACAGCCGGAGACGGGGATAGAAGGGAAGAGCCCTGGGACGATCAGTGTGAGACGCAAAAGCTAATTACCCTTTTCTGCACAGCTCCTTTGGTCAGTGTGTATCGATTCTTCAGGTCATTGATTTCTATGTCCTTGATATAGTCCCCATCTTGCTGGAAGATTTCGCCGGAGTTGTTCTTTTCCGCATTGACAGCCGGCGACCTGACGACCGGAGGACTAGGCGCCTGCGATGATGTTAGTGGGCGTTTGTCTCAAGTCTGTCGAGTACGTACAGCGCGAATCGGGGGCACGTCGACATGCTGAATGCCCTTCTTCGCTTGAATCTGCGCGTTGATCCTGGCAGCCGCGGCCGCCGCCTTCGCTGCAGCATCCTCCGCCTTCGCCTTTCTGGCCTCAGCGGCTGCGGGGCTGTCTGTGCCTTCGCGCGCAACAGGGCTGCGCGTGCGACGCGAGTCCGGCTCCCTGCTCGAGGGCGACCGCGAGCGGCGATCGAAGCGCGAACGTGGCGGTCGGTCGGACTCGGTCTTGTCGAAGCGCGAGCGTGGACGAGGGCTGTCGGACATGGTTGCGGCGTCTTCAGTTGCGCGCAGCAAGATGGTGTTGAAGTAGACAAGGCTACGTGCGCGCGCAAAGGTCGCAAAGCCGAACGTTCGCCAAGCTGATCCGTGCCAAATCCCTGTCGCTGTCGGAGCGAAAGTCGGCGCTGGAACGACCAAGCTCAGAATTCTGGAGCGTATCTAGTCACCGCCCACGGACAGTCATCGACACTCCTACCTCTTACCGCAGCTCAATTGCACTCGCTGTGGCCGTCGTCTTCACAATGGCTTCTCGGCGGGCCCTTCTGGCACTCCCTCGCCTGCTTAACCGGCAGTGCGCAGACGTCGTTCGCCAAAGCCGAGCATCGAGCTCCTCGTCCACGCAAGCCCTGGCCTACAAAGCATTGCACCGTCGCATTGCGCCGCTTCCTACCGAAGACCGTCCGGCATGGTCTGCCCAGGCCGCTGTCAGCAGCATTCTCTACGAGACGCCGCTCCCCTCGCAGGCACCTCCGAAGCGTCATATCCTGAACTGCTTGGTGCAGAACGAGCCCGGTGTGCTGTCCCGCGTGTCCGGAATTCTCGCTGCTCGTGGCTTCAACATTGACAGCTTGGTGGTCTGCAACACTGAGGTCGACGACCTCTCTCGCATGACCATTGTGCTGCAAGGTCAGGATGGCGTGGTGGAGCAGGCCCGCCGCCAGCTTGAGGACCTCGTCCCGGTGTGGGCCGTTCTCGACTATACCCAGTCTCCTCTCGTACAGCGAGAATTGCTTCTCGCCAAGGTCTCCATTTTGGGCCCTGAGTACTTTGAGGAACTCCTTGCCCACCACCGTGAGATGGCTCACATGCCTGAGATCGAGGAGGGTGTCCCGCTAGAGGAGCTGTCCGAAGAGGAGCGCGAAGCAATCGCCACCGCAGCAGCTCGTGAGACATTGAAGAAGGACTACCATCCCGGCAATCTGCCCATCAGTCAAGCGCTCAGACAGAAACACGAGCATCTCAAGGACATCACTTTCCTGACTCATCAATTCGGCGGCAAAGTGCTAGACATCAGCACTAACAACTGCATTGTCGAAGTGTCGGCCAAGTCGTACAGAATCGATGCCTTTATGAAGCTCATCGCTCCATTCGGCATTCTCGAATCTGCAAGGACAGGTAAGACAACCAACTAGTGATTTTCTCCGGCGCATGGCTAACGGCCCTGCAGGTCTCATGGCACTACCGCGTTCTCCGCTGCACGGGCCCAACGAGGTTGAGGAGAAGGACGCACAGGACATTGTCGACACGAGCACCCTTCCTCCAGGTTAAGCTCTTTGAGCGATTGGAAGAGCCGTTGCGGACCCAGACCATGTAGGCGTTCATGCAGTGTATATAATAGTTGGCGCACTCGCGAAGGGATTGGATTGGCTAGCTGAATCAAGCTTATCTCTGCCGTTTGACAGGACGTTAAGAAATCTTGCACCAACTGCATCGCCACAGTACGACATGCGATTGCAAAGGACCGCGACCTGCAGCTTTGGTGCTCTTGCAGACGTTGAATTGTGGAACTCGATGCGACTGCATGGCAGCGGATGCTTTGGGTAAGTGAGCGCGTGCGGCGTAGGCCCCACGTCGCACATGCTGGAACTACTCGGGTCCAATGCCTGCAGCCTGCAACGCGAAAATGCATATTGATCCTTCGCTCAGCATGTGTATTCCCCGATTCGCAATCCGAGGGAGACTCTGCGATTGCTTCTGACATGTCGACACTTGCCGCGATGCACCCCTGCCGGTGATGTAAGGTGGTGAGAGACGGCAGTGACGGTAGCATGCCCAAACGTGCAGCCCGCCTGTAGGAGGACTTGGGTGGCCGGGCCTTATCTGCAGACTGGAGCAACCTTACGAGGCAATATCGTAGTGCCAACGAGCTCCACCCGGCTCCCAGCCGTCGCTAGACCCTGAAGATTTTGGACGTGCAGCGTGGAGGACTGGGCCAGAAAGACCCACAACGCGCATGCGAGTCACGGTCAACGTGTGCTGTTCTTCACCACGAATCAAGGGAACACGGGTAGAAGCTTTTGACGGCGGCTTCTCATGCGGCTCTTGACGGCGGCGGGAGGCGAGACGGCGATGCAACGTCCATGGCGCGCAGGCCCCTCTCGTCGTCCGGATCGGGAAAGCAGAGTGCAATCTCTCGTCCACCACGGTCGGCATGCTGCATGCTAGCCACAGGCCGCGGAGCCCAGGGAGATGTATCGTCCGGACTCGGTCTTGAGTCTTGAGTCTGCATGTCGCATGGATGCATGTGCAAGCGAGGTCGTGGGGATTGAGGTTTGCAGATTGCACCCGCACGCGCCTACACGCTAATCGGACCATCTCTTACCTAGCCGTGATTGAGCCTGCCGGGCAATGCTGATTGGCGTGCGCCGACGAGAGCACCCACTTGACGGACGCGTGCCGCATGCATACGTCGATGCGGCGCCGATTTCTTTCCTCCCCTGTCACGCCCAACTGCCCGTTGCTATTTGACAGTGCCGTTCCCTCTCGCGAGTGTTTGTGTTTGTGGCAGTTGGAAACGTGCTCACCATCAACCTCGGCCCTTGCGTCATCGCTCGGTCTTGTAGCTTTGCGGACCACCGTTGCACTACTGGCCCCTCCCGCTACCTAGTCACTCCAGTCGACCACTTCGGATACCCTCCGACTCCCCATCGTCGCTTCGCATTCCCCTGGTATGCGCTTTTATGTCGCCGTGCGGCCGACAATCGACACGGCACATGTTCTGACGCCTCGTCCAGATATCGATAGCAATCCTGTGTGTAACGGTGCACAGTCGCTGTAACCGTCACTTGTCTCCGTTCCTCCGCAGGACATGAAATACGGTGATACGCTGCGCCAGCGGTCTACGCCAGAATGGGCTCACTGTAAGCATCCACGTCACCGCTCACGACACCTTTGACTTACTGGGCGCTGACCACCACAGACAACATTGATTACGACTACTTGAAAGACCTTATCAAACATCAGACGACATCTGGAACTAGCAAGGCCCTCTCTATCCCAGGCCAGGGCGAGTCGAGCGAGAAAGCCTTCGGTGGCACCTTCTATCGCGACTTGAAGGCCCAGCATGATCGCATCAACTTGTTCGTTCGAAGCAAGAGCGGAGAAATTGAGCGCAGGCTGACCCACATCCACAAGAGCCTCACGCGCCTACAGTCACGGCGCACGCAGCGTGGTCGGCTCCCAGCAAGCATAGTCGAGAAGTTTGCCAAGATCGACGCAGACGTCAACAAGTGAGTACTTTGAACACTCTCGTGCGGCAAATTGTTTGCGAGCGAAGCCAAAATATCGATCCTGGTGTGGCAAGAGCTTGCCATGTTGGCACTTCAGACGTCGACTAGCGGCGGCTACAACCCCTTCGTCACTGTTTTGAACATTGCTGACACCGGCTAGGGCGGGCGAAGAAATTCGCGCGTTGTCACGGTTCCAAGTTGCTCAGCGAACTGGCTTTCGTAAGATTCTCAAAAAGTATAAGCGTTGGACGAAGGACGCCGAATTGGAACGCCAATTCAAGAGTGAAGTTACAAGTAGTCCGACCAGTTTCTACCAGCTGGACCTGGGATACCTCCTGGATCAATACATTGAAGTTCTTGGTGCTTTACGCGCCCCTTTCGATGTCGCTGGCGCATCCGAGTCCCCCAATGGCGTGAAGCCTTCATCGCCCACGGTGCGGATCTCTCAAACTTGCCAGGATGGGAGTGAACTTGATTTCGATGTTGCGTTCTCCTTGACGCCACTAGGTTCTCGTGGAAGCAAAGCTACATACTGGATACATCCAGATCATATCGTTGAGGCTGAAGTTCTTCTGTTGCAACATATGCGTCTCATCACAGCGTCTAGCCCACCTACGACCAGGGGTTCACCCGAAGCAACTTCTCTCCGTCGCAAATCCTCTACCACTACCGATCGGTTTTTAGGTAGCGAAGATGGCGTAGGTCTGTTGGTCCTTGACCATCCAGAGTCGTTTGCCATCAAACAGAACGCCAGTTCGCTTGGATCTGGCGAAGAGACGGCAGGCACTTTGCAGGTAAAGGCTGCCGGTAATGCTCGTTGGACCTCATCTGGCGACGCAGCGCTTGCGCTTGATCTTGAAAAGTCTCCTGAAGCCTTTCTTACAGCCAAGCTGGAGAGAAAGCATCTGCCAGGCTTCCTCGAAATATCCACTCCTCTGGCAGAACTGAATCTACCGAATACGCAGGGAAAGGACTCATCCCAGCTGACCGCTGATGCTGAGACGAATGTTACTGCGGCTCGTCAATGGCTGGAGAGCCACGAAGGTGTCAGACCGATTGTAGGGGTATGCTCCAAACGCACCAGGTTCATGGGCCTCCACAACAACGGCGCGGGAGGGATGTGGGCTACGCTGGACAGAGACGTATTTATGAAAAGTTCATTGCACAAGGATCTGGGCACTGAAGATTGGATGTCGGCTGGTCGCACGGGATCAATCAGCTTTCCTCATGCTATCTTGGAAATACGGAAAGAAGGTGCGCACGCATCAGCACTGATACAGACGCTAGACCGGAGTCACTTGGTACGTGGACAGCAATTCTTCTATGAATTTACATTGACTTAATAGGTCGAGCGAGTTCGTGGGTTCTCTCTACAAGCGCAAGCAGTTTGGGCATGTTGCCGACCAACCGCAATGTCTGCACCGATCTGGGTGAGTCAGCTTGTTTCATCATTATGTTTTTGGACTCGAAGGTGCCTGGACGGGTTCTCCCGATGACAATGGCGTTGGCTGGCAGTAGCACTAACGTCGCTAGGTACCGTTGTTTGACAAAGATATTCGCAAACTTCCTCCCTCAACAGATCGACAACGTCGGAAAGCGAATAGCACGGCCGGCTCATCCCAGCTCTCGCCACCTGGAACATCAGGCGCATCCACTGGGGGCCAGACGAGTCCTTCGGCGCTTTGGAACGATACATCTGCCACTTCCGCGCCCGAGTTCGTAGAAGAAGCTCCGCCATTGCGAGCATTCCGGAAAAAGGGGAAGCCGTCTACGGTCCCGGAACAGCCGGAACCGGAACAACAGCGCTATTGGAATGAGTACGACAATCCTGAAGACGGAGACGATGGCTACTACATCTACGTCGATCCCGACGCCGAGGTCAAATTTCCGGGACAAGAGCTATTCGAAGAACTGGCGAGAAAGACACGCAGGCTGTTCGGTATCAAGGAAGAAGCGGCAGAAGACTCTTCATTGTCGTCAGCAGAAAGCAGCGAAGACGAAGATTCCCCAGTGACTCCACCACACGGCTACGGCACATTCGCTTCCTCTAAAGCCGTGCCACGCCGCCAAGGATACTTCAGCGGCTTGTTGCAGAAGTTGCGTGACCCACATCACGATGTCGAAGCTCTCCTTACCCAGCGACGCGAGACAGCTCGTGAACACCGCAGTCTACTTAGGGAACTCGACATGCGCCGGCACAAGGCCGAAAGAACGAAACTGTATTTTTACACGACGTGCTTAGCAATGGCAATCGTCATTGACGCACTACTGGGCACGATGGTGATGACAAGCCGCAAGAAGGAGGTCGGTGTAGTTGACTCGGTAGTATTATTTGGAACGATCGTCAACCTCTTGCTGGGCATGGTAGCTATCATCAGCATGCAAACGAGGGAAACTCCGGGTTGGGTGCATAAGGGGGGGGTGTATATGATTTTCGCGGCCAACGTGGTGGTGGACGTCCTCTTTCTCATATGGGTGTTCAGGAGCTTCTGACACTAGTAGGAACTGGACTGGGCGGGGCAGGGCACGGGTTTGGATGTGGAATTGATGATGGAGGGCCTCATGGGAAAGCTGGCAAATGCTTATGAGGCGTCCGGAAGCCGGCTCATTCTGTGGGGAGTGTCGGGTGATGTTGGATCCCCATCGGTCGATGCAAGAACACGTGGGAAGTTTATAACAACACGAAATGATTGTCCATGTACACATGACTCGAGCTATGAAGAACGAACAAAAGCGATGCATTGAGGGCGTGCCATGCACCCCTGAAAACATGCTCTGGATGCTTTTATGGGGCAATAGTTTGTGTGACTTATCCTGCATATGGGGAAGTGCGATGGAGTCGGCCATCCCGCACTGGGCGTGGGGGTGGCCCCAGGTGGGGCTCTGTGACGATCGATCGTGATTGAGCTTGGTGAGGCTCTGCGGAACAGTGGGCCGTCGTTGTGCAACACGGAACGTGGTCGTGGCGAGTCCAGGGCGAAGGGAAAAGTCGGACAAAAATGGGGACGCTGTCAAACGACTCCTTGCTGCAAGCCGCACCGGGTCGGCTGTAGCTGTTCCAATCTCGGGGTTGGTATTCTGCCGAGTGCCTCCGCCCCAGCACGGCGCCAGCCCCCGTCGCGTCTTTCGTCATTCACACCTCTCGAGCTCTGCAAGCCCACAATTCTCCTCCACCTCCCTGTTGGCACGCCGACACTAACCGGAAAATTTTGCCTACTCTTGCTCGCTGCTCGTCATGCTGTCTTGAACAACATCTCTGGTGAGCCGCCGCCTGCATCCAGTTTTTCCGGCGACGAAAGGGAGCTAACACCGTGGGCTTGTGAAAGCGGCCTGGCGCCTGAGTTTGCAGCACAGTCATTGTTGACTATCATTATTTTACCAACGTGCATCTCAAGTGCTGAGTGCAACAGAAATCTTACCGCGCTCTGCAGAAGGAGAGCGCATCGTTGTTGATCCGAACAAAAAAGTCTGCAAGAAATTGCAATAATATGGCCACGCGCGCCCGCGGAAGTCGCATCCTCAGGCCGCTGCTCTACACCACAGGCGCGGGTCTGGTCGGAGGAGCCGCGCTCTATTCCATCTATCGTCCTCGCGACATCCCCGGCCTCGAGGCGGCACAAGTCCCTCCTCCGACGTATGGCGAGGGTGGCATTTTCCGTCCACCCAACTTTCCCCATGCCAAGTCGAGAGACGAGCAGATCGCAGATCTGAAGCGAAGCGCTGGCGTCCTTTCCAGTGCTGCAGACAAGGTCAAAAACAGCATTGGCTGGGGATCTGGTGGCGCCGGTGCTGTAGATGCAGCTGAGGAGAAGAGCGAAGAGGAGCCATATGATCTATTGGTCATCGGTGGTGGTGCGACCGGCACTGGTATCGCGCTCGATGCTGCCACCCGAGGATTGAAGGTCGCCCTTGTAGAACGAGACGACTTCAGCAGTGGAACAAGCAGCAAAAGTACGAAGCTTGTGCACGGCGGTGTACGATATTTGGAAAAGGCTGTTTGGAATTTGGACTACAACCAGTAAGGCGGACACGAAACTCAACATGCGACTGCGCTAAGTGCAGTTCTACAGGTACAAACTCGTTGTTGAGGCACTCCGCGAACGTCGCTATTTCTTGGATACCGCACCGCATCTCTCGCAATGGCTCCCGATTATGATTCCTATTCAGAAGTGGTGGCAGGCACCCTACTTCTGGGCGGGTACAAAATTCTACGACTTTCTGGCTGGCTCGGAAAACATTGAGAGTTCTTACTTCTTGACCAAAAGCAAGGCTCTGGACGCATTTCCTATGCTGAAGAAGGAGGACCTATTCGGCGCTTTGGTCTACTACGGTAGGTCGCTCAAACCTGATCCAGTGAACTGGCGCTAAATTTGCAAGATGGTGCACACAACGACTCCCGTATGAACGTTTCCCTTGCCATGACCGCAGCGTTGTACGGTGCGACTGTCGTAAGCCACATGGAAGTCACCGGCCTCGAGAAGGACGCGTCTGGAAGACTCAGTGGTGCGCGTGTCAAGGACTGCATCACTGAGCTGAATGGTAAGAAGTCGGAGGAATTCACAATCAAGGCAAAGGGCATCATCAACGCTACGGGGCCTTTCACAGACTCAATTCGCAAGCTCGATGAACCGACCGTCGAGGAGATTGTTGCACCAAGCTCCGGTGTGCACGTTATCCTGCCAGGTTACTTCAGCCCGGCAAACATGGGACTTATCGACCCCTCTACGTCCGACGGCAGGGTCATTTTCTTCCTTCCTTGGCAAGGCAACACTATCGCAGGTACGACTGATTCGGCTACCTCAGTTACTAAAGATCCGGTGGCTGGTGAGGACGAGATCGATTGGATTCTCAAGGAAATTCGCCGCTACTTGCAACCTGATATCGCCGTACGCCGAGGCGACGTCCTTGCCGCATGGTCCGGCATTCGCCCCCTCGTACGCGACCCTAAAGCTGGCAAGACGGAAGGTCTCGTCCGCAACCACCTGGTCACTACATCTCCCTCTGGTCTGCTGACCTGTGCCGGTGGGAAATGGACCACGTATCGCGAAATGGCTGAGGAGACTGTCAACGAAGCGATCACGGAGTTCGGTCTCACTAGTAAGCCCCTCGCAAGCGCTCCTCGTGTCAGTGGAACCGAAGTCCTAGACGAGGCTCCCCTGGACGGCACTTGCCAGACACACCGCGTCCGTTTGATTGGCGCCCACGGCTATTCCAAGACTCTTTTCATCAATCTCGTTCAGCACTACGGTATCGAAACCGAAATCGCCAAGTACCTATGCACTGCTTACGGTGATCGCGCCTGGAGCGTCGCAGCACTATCCGCTCCAACCGAGCAACGTTTCCCTGTCCGCGGCAAGCGAATTTCAGAGCTATACCCGTACATTGACGGCGAGGTACGGTACTGCGTGCGTCACGAGTATGCGCAAACGGCTACGGACGTTATTGCCCGACGTATGCGCCTTGCGTTCTTGAACGCACAGGCTGCCCTTGAGGCTCTACCTGTAGTCATTGACCTCATGGCTGAGGAGCTCAAGTGGGACTCCAAGCGGAAGGAGACGGAGTGGAAGAATTCGGTTACATACCTGGGGAGTATGGGCCTGCCGAAGGGCAAGCTTACTTTGACAAGGAAGGATGTGGAGAGTGGGCGCGTGGGCAAGTACGCTGATGAGGAGTATCATTTGTACGCGAGGCACGGTAATAAGAGTCCCTCCATGTTGTTGTGGCGATGGATCGCTAATGGTGATACAGACAAGCCTGATGAGCCCCTCCCTTCGGACTCCAAAATTCCACCTGGGCACAACCCCGTCATCGGAGAAGACTCAAAGGCGAACAAATAGGTTCCCTTTTCTCCATCTGGGCCGTCCGGTGTAGCGTTCCCTCGCATCTTTCTACCTACTCGTTACCTAATCAACTCACCCGCCTCCTGTTAAAACACCTTGTATATAGCCAAATTATCCTTACACTATCACATTCAGACTTCTTTCGCCTGCATCACTCTCATCTTGCAGCCGTCTCCGCTGCTATACGCCTTGGGCATCGTGCGTCCAGGCACGATCAGTCTCCTATTTATAGCGGAGCAGAAAGGATCGTAAAAGCGTACAACAGCGGTAATCTAGCCTACGTCTTCTCTCATTCGTTAAACTCAAGCTTCATAACCCGTGGACTCAGCAGCGGACTGCTCGCATTGATCCTGCCATACTCATGTGCATCGAGTGCAGCTTGCCTTGAAGCCAACACAGCTGGACGACATCTAGCGGTGACTTCGTTCTCATATCTATCTATCGCAGCCCGCAAGGCGTTCTCAGAAGACCGTGCAGACAGCATTGGTGCGACTTTGCGGGCAATCTCTTGGACATCTTGGATGCTGTGGTTTGCACCTGCTCAATCAGCTCGACCTCTCGAAGTCGATAAATCAGGGGCACTCACCATCGCCACGATCTAGTAGTCGTTAGCTGATGTTGCTATCTAGAGGGATGAAATGCTAACACATAGCCATTGGGTGAAATGCGTCCCCAACCAGCACCGCCCGTCCCGTACCATGAATACCTCTTGGTGGTGGCCAGTCTGAAAGCTCCAGAGGCTTCAATTCAACTGTGTTTGGCAGGTTGAGTGCGAAAGAACGAATGGGCTCCGCCCACGTCTCAGCAAACGTCTTCAGCAACTCTAGCCTTGCAGTATCTGAAGTAGGCATAGCGACCAGGCTGTCGTGAACAGGGAGCTCTTTGCGGTATGGCCAGGAAACGACAAACTGGGCAGTGTAGGTTTGTCCACCCTCATCGCCAGGTGCATCCAGCACTGTGGCCCCAATCAGCCTGATTCGAGTGTGAGAAGGATTGTTGCCTACCGCTGAAGTATGTGAAGGTATTATTTCGAGACGACGTAGCTTGCAGAAAGAAAGAGTCGAGATTTCGCAAGGGCTCGATCTCGCTCGGAGTCAAGTGCACTTTTGTGCCCATTACGCGGATAGGGATGTGGTTGTTCTGCGCTTTAGGAAGCAGAATGCGACGAACTCTGGAATGAGCACCATCACAGCCCACTAAAAGACAGCCCACGCATTGCGATCCATCCTCGAAGCGGACAGATACACAGTCTTCGCCAGTATCGTAGGAAGTGAATGTTTCCCCCCACTAGAATACATCAGCGCTTGAGTGCTGAACAGCGCGCCTTTGTCACCTTACCTCGATTGTGATATCGGTTGCCAATAATTTTCTGAACCTCTCGCGGCTGACCCGGATTCTCTGAGACTCTGGTGCCAGGGGCGTCTTAGCTTTAAGCTCTCCCGTGCTGAGGTCGAAGAAAGGGAACGCGGACGCTTCGCCCCGCTCTACGGCGGCACTGTCTACATATGCCTCAGGTAAACGTTCTCGCAGCGGAGCCGGAAGCAAATTTCTCAGTGTGGGAAGAGACCAGGAAAGAGTCAGTCCCCAACCAACGTTTGTCGTGGCAAGGTCCTCCCGGCGCTCGAAAATTCGAAAAGGTATCCCAGATTGGGTCAGATACTGCGCGAGGAGGAGGCCGCTGATGCCGGCGCCAACGATGATGACGGGTCTTGCGCTTCCGTCGGCCATGTTTGTCTGGATGTTTCTCCACACTCACGAAAGGTGCTGTTCACGGTCGACAGATTCGGGACATGCAATGATTGGGTGTCTAAGCGATCTGCATGTACTTTATTAAGGCGACATCTATACTACGTGTGAACTCGGGGCCACCAGCGCCGAGTCTCTCAGCTCAACGTGCAGCCTGGCCCAGTGGGATAATGTTCACCGATCCCCAACGCACAAGTGCTTTGCATACCGCATGGCTAAGCTCTAGAATAGGCAGCTGCCGTCAAGTGTGTGACCGGGCACGACACAGCATAGGCAACTACCCCGCACATCATCTTGTGTAGCTTCCCTAGACTTCTGATATATAGCTGCTTATATCTGTCGTCTTCTACTGCCCTGGACTCACTGCGTTTCAGATGGGTCTTCACGCCGAAATCGGTCAGCCTGCTGGCAATTTATCGAGCATCGATGCTGCTTGGGAGTTCCTCGACAGACATCGAGATGCCCAAATAGACTCAGCTGACATCGTTTCCTTACGTCGAATACGCAGAAAGATTGACTGGCACGTTGTGCCTCTGATGTTCTGCTGCTACACGATGCAATTCCTCGACAAAGTTATCCTCAATGTATGCCAGCATTCCTGGTCTCGTTCGGTTTGCATCATCGATAACGTGCATAGTACGCGGCGGTCATGGGTCTTCACGAAGACCTTCACCTCAAAGGCAGCGAATTCAGCAACGTAGCGATATTTCTCTTCGTCGCACTGCTTTGCTTTGAAGTACCCAACAGTGAGCTATTCGTTCCCGATGGTTTTCCACATAGCGGCTAATGAAGTGTTGCCCCAGCTTATTTTCTCCAGGTAGTCCCGTCTGCTAAATGGCGTATGTATCCAGACTCTACGAAAAGGTAACTCGCGGCTGACTTTGCACCCGCGCATCCTAGTCGGTGCCAATGTTATGCTGTGGGGTGTTGCGACAGCCTGCGGTGCAGCGGCGCACAACTATGAGACTTTGCTCACTTCTCGCATATTCCTAGGCATTTTCGAAGCGACTATCGGTCCATCTCTCATGCTGATAAGCAGTCAATGGTACACAAAATCCGAACAGGCTCCTCGTTTTAGTCTGTGGTACTGCGGTCTCGGCGTGGGCCAAATCCTCGGCGGCGCCGTCTCATACGGATTCCAGCAAATCGAGCCAGGTAACGGACTTTCCAGCTGGAGAATCATGTTTGTGGTACTCGGTTGCCTCACTGTCGTGATCGGCCTTTGCACGATTGTCTTCTTACCAGATACACCAATGCAGGCTCGTTGGTTGACGAAAGATGAGAAAATTACACACCTAAAGCACGTCTGTGTCAATCAGACGGGCATTCAGGATAGCAAATTCCGGTTCAGTGAGATTATGGAAGCGCTCGTAGATCCACAGGTGTATCTCCTTGTTCTAGCGGTCGCTTTGGTACGTTGAGTGCTTCTCCGACGCTTCCATTGCGCTGGACGTGACTGACCCCTTTCGTGCAAAAGTTATCGGTTTCGAGCGGCGTAGTCACCACGTACTCGTCTACACTCATCAGAAACATGGGTTATAGCGGTCCTCGAGCTGCCGTGATGAACATACCATCTGGAGCCGTTAGTATGTTCTTTATACTGCTTGTAGGCTACGGCATCCGAAAGCAGTCTCATCGATGGGCCTGGATCATGGCTTGTATAATGCCCGCGTAAGTCCTCTGAAGCACATCAATCACTCCGCCCACGTGGTTACGGAGCGTATTTACCATCGAATACAGCATTATTGGTAGCGCGCTCATGTCATTTCTGCCCGTAAGCAACCACGCAGGTATGCTAGCCGGAATCTATCTTATGAACGCTATCGTCGCGCCGCTCGCCATCTTCTACAGCGTATGTACCACCAGCATGCCACATCGCTCATGCCATTCTTGCTAACGCGCAGCTTCCAGTGGACAGCCGCAAATATTGCAGGCGCAACCAAACGCGCCTTCTCTGCCGCTATCGTCAGTGGCTCCTTCTCCATCGGCAACATCATCGGTCCGCAGACGTTCCAGGCTCGAGACGCGCCACAATATCGCCCGGCCAAGCTTGCCATTATGGGAACTCTGGCAGGTTGTGCTTCTGTGACTTGCACGTTATCTGCGTACTACACTTTTGTGAATCGCAAACGGAACGTGGTCGATCAAACGTTGGAGGAGCAATACATGCAGCGCGATGTATGGCAAAGGCTTACGGATAGGGAGAATCCAAGGTTTACGTACGTGTACTGAGTAAAACACAAAAGGTAATTACACGTCGGTCTAGAATCTGTCTATTCGGTACAATCTGATCTATGTTGTTACGAATGTTACAGGGTAGCTTGCTTGTATCGGGCAGATACTGCATGATACCACACTTTAGATGCACGATAAGGCCGCATCAGCATGGTCAGCACATTTAGCGGCCTGATCAATGCCAATATGTTCACGCCGCGAGATACCAATGCTGCACCTATCAGATGGCCTCATATACAAGGGTCCCATTGTGACAGCTTCGCGAATCGGATCTCCAGTACCGAAGGATATTCGATCGTGCCTGTTTTGCAACGGGGCTGTTTCTAGATTCGTTTCGCCAGCGTTGCTGAAGAATAAAATACTCGTGTCCTGTAGAAGTCCCACCAGTGAATCAGCTCATCTTCTTCTCTACATGTGCTTAGGGTTTCCAGAACAAGACGAGTGTCAACCTCAACGTTTGGTGTGATCATCTCAACATCTGGAACGTAAATACAGCAGCACCGTCCTACCCGAAACGCGCCAAAGCGACAGTTTCTAATCATACGCAATGATGTTCGTACTATAAATTTCCTACATTCAATGACGTCCTTTGTGTATCGAAGCATGCTGAACGCGATCGTGCGAGATGTGTGCGTGGTGAACCTCTGACTCGTCTCGGGTCTCGGTGAGAGTGAGCCGATCTAGTAAACTTAAGCGCTCCATGATTCATCACGAACTGTCTTACACCGCGTTAATGCATCGCTCGAAGGCAGGCAGACATCTCCGAACTTTACGTGTCCGACCTGTGTCTCTTTGATCATGATGAAACTGAACGGAATTGCAATACTCTCTTCTATACGAATTCGAAGCAACGTTGAGTGGGTCTCCGAAAGAGGAAATTGTAACCACCGTTCAGGTGATTGGAAACATCCAGATGTCAGCCCCATTGGGGAATCCAAACCACTGGCGCTAATCGCACCAGTCGAGGGATTTCTACGACACGTCCCACAAACCCATACGACAGTAACCTTGTCGGCGGCAGCGTGGTGCAAATTTGCAGCTTTGGGGACGGATTGTGGGGTCCCGCATTTCTCCTCACTGGGGTCGACAAATCATCATCCCCGTGGAGCCCCGCTAGCGGCTTGCCTACCTGAATCGATGTAGAACGCGGGCCAGGACAGCGATGCTAGGCAACTGTTATAAGGCAGGTTCCTGATCGTTCTTCCATCTTCCAGCATCTGTGCCTTTTTACACTTCCTTGTAAAGTTTCGGTGTTGTCAAGGTCCGCAGTCGGAAGGCACTGAGGAAAGGATTGAAAGATTCATTATGGACGCTACCGTTCGCAACGCGTCGCTCACTTCAGCGCAGGTCCGCACACAGGCTGCGTACAAAAACAGATGGAGGACGTTGCTTCATAACCCAAAGCTCTTAGTCATTGCCTTTTTCGCTTCGTAAGAAATCGTGCGGTCGTATTCGCAAGGTCTGGCTGATTCGTAATAGCTTTGGGGGTTTCGAATATGGCTACCAGCAGGGAGTCCTGGGACAGTCCCTCGTCATGACACGATTCATGGACAACTTTCCATCCGTCGTCAACTCGTCTTCAGCTACTGGCTGGTTGACCTCTATTCTACAGCTGGGTGGAATTTTGGGCTCGCTATCGGCTGGTGTACTTAGTGAGATTTTCTCGCGTAAATACACCATGTTCAGCGCCTGCATCTGGGTTGTCCTTGGGTCATATCTGTACATCGGCGCCAGCCACCACAGGCCCAGCCTTCTGTATGCGGGCAGATTCTTCACCGGGATTGGGGTTGGAACGTTTAGTGGTAGCGGACCTTTGTACAATGCCGAAATCGCAGCACCGGAACTGAGGGGTTTGATCGTCTCGTTCTATCAGTTCGCGACCATCCTGGGTATCATGCTCTCCTTCTGGATCGGATATGGATCGAACTACATTGGCGGTACTGGCGAAAATCAGGCGAACCTCGCGTGGCAGCTTCCCTCCATCATCCAAGGCATCCCAGCCGCCATTCTTGCTTGCGGTATCTGGTGGTTGCCATTCTCTCCTCGTTGGCTAGTCAAGAAAGGTCGCGATGAGGAAGCTTTGAAGACTATCAGCTACCTTCGAAAGCTACCTGTTGAGCATGAGCTCGTACAAATCGAATACAAGGAGATCAAAGCTGAAGCGCTCTTCGAGCAGCGTAACTTTAAAAAGCATTTCCCCAACCTGGCTGCCAAGGAGACGGGAAGTGTCTGGGCGCGAGAGTTTGCCCAGTACTACCACATTGTTCGCACTTGGGACAACTTCAAGAGAGTTGCTACCGCTTGGCTTGTCATGTTCTTCCAACAATGGTCTGGTGAGTTCCGTTCCACGACCAACCTTTTGAGTCGACCTAATATCCTGCAGGTATCGATGCGATCATCTATTACGCAAGTAATATCTTCTTGTCCCTCGGATTAACTGGAGGCACCCAAGCTCTTCTCGCCACCGGTGTTACTGGTGTGGTATTCTTCGTCAGCACCCTTCCGGCCATGGCTATTATCGATAAAGTAGGCCGCAAGCCCATGTTGATCGTCGGTTCCGTCGTCATGTTCTGTTCTATGGTCATCGCTGGAGTCATGGTTGCGAAGTTCAGGCATGATTGGGTAGCACACTCCGCCGAGGGCTGGATCGTTGTTGCGTTTATCTGGATCTATGTCGGCGCTTTCGGTGCCACCTGGGGTCCGGTCTCCTGGACTCTAGTGTCTGAGATCTTCCCGCTCTCTATTCGAGCCAAGGGTGCCTCCATTGGCGCCTCGTCTAATTGGGTATGTCTTTTACTATAGCTAGCTCATGAATCTGCTGACCACTATAGCTTAACAACTTTGCCGTCGCTTGTAAGTCTTCTCGGTACAAAGTAGATACGTTCTTCAAAGCAAAGGAAGAAGCCTTTCTACCCTCGTTACACATGAGAAAAATATTCGTCCTTGGCTTCGCTTCTACCCAAGCGAAGTGCGATCATTCCATTTTCATTGCGACATACACTGATCCTGTACCCTAGTCTTCGTACCGCCAATGCTCGAGAACTGGGCTTGGGGAACTTACATCTTCTTCGCCGTTTTCCTCGCCGTCGGTATCGTATGGGTCATTTTCCAGCTTCCGGAAACAAAGGGTGCGACATTAGAAGAGATGGATCGCGTGTTCAACAGCCGGACTGGTGCGGAGGACGCTATAATGCTCGCCGAGGCTAGGAGGGAGATCGGTCTTAGCATGACACTTGAGGACGATGCGATCAAGGCTGTCAAGCACGCCGATCAGATCCTCGAGAAGGGCCACGAACGTGTCGAGGAGGTTTAAACCAGGCTATTTGTCGAGCTGAATGACCTTCGTATGAGCGCGCTCTAGAGATTACTGCCAAATACACTTAGAAGCCATGCAAAGAATGCGCTTCCCCAATTGTCCGGTATGATCGTGTATACGTCCCTTCTGGCTTTTTTGGCACATGCTCTAGGCAGCAAAGCTCGTAGAGATGCAGTGATTTGACCAGACTTGTTATTGAGGGTCGGGGCTGGGAGGGTACCACGATACATACGAAGATCGTTGTCGGACCTCAGGTGATCGAAAATCTAGAGCTTATTTGGATACATGATGCTCTTGTATCCACCACACCTAAAGTGTTGGGCCCGAATGGATTACCTTCGCTGTGGAACAGGGCGAGAGATCTGCGCTCGATGCTAGCATCGGGATTTATTATTAGCAAAAGCGTTCGGGACGGTGAGCAACATCGTTGAAGGTGAATGAGATATCACCAGACAATAGTACTGCGCCCGATGGTCTCCAGCGGTGCAGGCTTGTGCACGAAGATCTTTGATCCAACATCTCGCTATATCCCTCTACTCTGGTAAGAAAAGCAAGCTACTTTTAGATGAGTCAAATTTCTCTTCTTCGTTGGATACTTTCCAAAAGGGGTTTTCTTCCTTCTCAAGAGTAAGCAGACTCTGACTCTCTCGTAATGTCTGTCCGGGGACTCCCCCTTCGGGTTTAGCGCAGTCCCTGCGCTTATCCACATCGGGCATCGCTCCTCGCCCCATCAACCCGCCGTAGTTCACTATGAAGATACAGTCTTCTTATTATAGAAAATCTACTTCTTATTGCGTTAAAATGTGTTGGGCTGCGCTGCGAAAATTTTTTTTTTTTTTTTTTTGAAATATTTCACAGTTCGTTTTTGTGGTTGAAAATTGAATGACCCCGAGGAAACAAGAACAATAGACACTACAACTCAACTCGCGAGTACATAGTAGAAGCAGTATCAACAGATCAAAAGTATTATGAACTTACAAAATTTAGGTACATCTGGAATTCCCTATAGACATTGCTACTGAAGTAAATGTAAACTGCTGACTTTTCAACTTTGCTTTTTCCGTGATCCTTCGCGACGCTATTTTTAGAGCCACTTGCACCTCAAACGGCGAATTCTGACCCCTCCATCTGTGAATTTCGATTGCCTACCATCCATCAACAGAGCATTTTTTTGCACCCTATAATATTATATGCGTGCCTGTTCGCCGAACTGTAATATGGCTAATCGAAAGCTTTCGAATCACGTGCTATGTTAGCCGAAGCGAACGTCTGGTTCCTACGGAGGAGTCGAAAGAAATACGACATAGAACGAATACGAGACAAATCCCGAACGATCCCACCTCCTCAGCTCCATAAGAAGCCTGCTGTTCAACCTCAAACATGTACTCACCAATACAAACATATAACTACATGACCCAAATTAGCGCACGATGAATTCCTCCAATCTACCAATAAGAACCCATCAGTCATCTACAAACTTCATCCCCCAATTCTGCAAAGCATGTCTAGCCTTCGACGACGAGCTGTCACGTATCGAGAGCCTCATCGAGGAACCCGAGCCACAAGCCAAAAGCGACAGCGTCCCAGGTCCAACACAGCAACTCATCAGTCTACCGCCCTTCCCAATCAGCAAAGCGCAGCATATCTGGGACCACAGCGCTGCGTGTCGCTGCTGCCGGAGTCTCCGCGATTACGTGTTAAGGAGATTGTTCTCTATTGTTGCTGCTAATTCCCCGAGTACTCTACATGCGCTGTCGGTGAGCGTTGCGTTTCTGCCTCACTTCCCAGAATCCACCGTGCCGCGGTTATTGCTGAAGGCGGGCGTCGACATCATCGCGAAGGAAACAGACTCGGAACATGCACCGGGCGTGGATGAGTTTTACTCCACCACTCCATCGTCGAGAGATGGACTGCTGGTGCGAGCCGTAGGACCGCGCATCGATTTCGCGCAGATGCGCCAGTGGATCAGCGAGTGCCGCGTCTCTCACGGAAGCGAGTGCTCGCGATCACAGCTTCCTAATGACTGGGGGCTTGTTGGCCTCGATACGCATGATCTGGAGTTTTATCTTATTGACGTGCATCGTATGTGTCTCGCCGTCTCGACGATGAAAGCTGCTCCGCCGTATGTAGCGTTGAGCTATCGCTGGGGCGATCCGGCGTGTTCAACGCAGTGCCGTTTGGCCAATCTTGCGACGATGAAGGCGCCCGGGGGATTGATGAGCGAACATGTCGTTTTAGCTCCTACGATCCAGGACGCCATCACTTTCACGAGAGAGGTCGGGTTCCGTTATCTTTGGGTCGATGCATTATGCATTGTCCAGGATGACTACGAACGGAAAGCCACATATTTAAGCCTCATGGGTACGGTGTACGCAGATGCTGCGCTTGTACTAGCAATCCTTGAAGGAAACGCGGATATGGGAATCGCGGGAATCGGGCATGATCGCGATATCTCAGACACCATCACCCTCCCTACTCGAAGTCTAATCAAGACTACACGCCGCATCACCGGAAAGGAATCATTCAGCGACAAGACGTGGGCTACGCGGGGTTGGACGTTCCAGGAGGGACTGTTCGCTAGCAAAATGCTCACCATCGACAACTTCGCTTCCTGGCATTGTCCATGTGCGAACTGGATGGAGGAGGTATCACGGCCTCCGCAATTTATACACGAACCTCCTTCCCAAGTATCGTCAAAGCAGCCCGGAAAACCGCAAGTAGCATCGTCCACGTTCCTCGACTTCCCCCGCGTCCCGTCATACATGTCCCTAGCAGGCTACGCGCAACTGATCCAATCCTACAACAACCGCTCACTAACTATGGACTCAGACGCTCTCAACGCAGTAGCCGGCGTGACGGGGCGTCTTCACAGCCTTTTCCCAGACGGCTTCGTGCAAGGCCTTCCTCAATTCTATTTCGACGTCGCGCTTCTCTGGAAGCCACGTTCTCCACTACGACGCAGGGTCGACGCACCCGGTGCGCCTGCGCTCTCGTCCTGGTCATGGGCGGCGTGGCACGGCGATTTGGACCTCGACGCGTGGTCCGATAGCCACCTAGTCTACGACGAGCCGTTGACGTCACGAAATAACCGCATCGTCGACTGGCAGAAGCTGCGCTGCGTGAAGACGAAGAGCGGCGAGACGAAGGAAGAGTGGCAGCCGATTCAATTCACGTTCCACATCCCGCGGGGTCGATTCGAGGACCCATCCGTCACCGAAATGCCGTGGGCATGGCATGCTCACCAGGACGAAGATGAAGAAGAATTAGCGCATGGAAACGTAGCGAGCAGGTACTTCACATATGACCCAGACGACCGCAAAAACCACATGCAAGACATGAAATTCCGCTTCCCCTTTCCACCGCTTGAAAGGCTCCGAAACGTCGATCGCGAGAGTTGGCATGTGAATCTGTTAAAGGGGAAGGTGCAAGTGGCGTCTTTGAAACTCGACACACAATCACTGCCTAACCCTACCTCGGCGTATAGCGTGGAGGATGCGCACCTCGTGAATGGAGCAGACGAAAAGATAGGCTGGCTCCGGCTGAATCTTTACGACGAGCAGCGGCCAGCCCATGGTACGGAGTGCGAGCTGGTGGCGATTTCCGAGAGAGTCGTGGATGCTAGATATCGGCCGTTGGACACGCAAGTCAAAGATGGTGCTTGTTTTTATCATGTATTGTGGATTGAGCGGAAGGGCGATGTAGCGTATCGCCGGGCTTTGGGGCAGGTTGAGAAAGTGGCGTGGGAGCGGGAGTGTGCTGGAGAGATCGAGATTATTTTAGGTTGATACAGTCTCTACCTGTAGGTAACCAAGCAATTACAATCCGATACCCAAACACTCTTCAAAAAGTCCCTAAGGATTCGGGCCGTGGAGGTACATGGGGTGTGTGTTTACAATAGGGAAATAGTTGTAGATAATGGTGCGCACAGTTTTGGTAAGTCCGAAACCCCACACGTTGGAGAGTTCGGGGAATTAAGCGGATGAGCCGTCACGGTTGGCGAGGAGGAGGAGGAGGGATTGGGTTTCCCGGGCACGGTGTAGGGCGTGGGGGAGGAAGTTGGGAGGGAGGATGTGTCGGCGGCGTCGTAGTAATTGAGGGTTTTAGCGTGAGGCTGATTCGAACTTGAACAGATTGTGTCGACGTCGAAGCGCATTGGCAATAAAATAAAGAAAAGGGAGAAACAAGAACACCAACGAGTATCCTGCTCGTGAGGGTATCAAGAGAAAACGAAGAAAGAAGAAGACAATATGACCACAACGGGTAGGTAGCAGACACTCAACAACGCATAATCATCCTGAGAGCCGGCGATTCCCTTTTTTAAAGTCACACTCGCCAGAGGAATACCATCCTGCCTAAACTTCCCCTCCTCTTACCGTACTCGTACCACGTTCGTGGCCTTTCCGTCCAATGGGTGTGAGTATTCGTTGCTACACGAGGCCTGAATCCGGGCTGCGCCTCAGGTTACTGTGCGAAACGCGGTAGAGCACCCCTAGTGACAACGTACAATCGCTCTCTCGAAACAGAGCGCTAAATCTCAGGTAGAATATGGGGTATCATCTCAAACGCAGCGCTAAAACCAGGTTTCACGAGGAGATGCAAGTGCGCGAACATCAAAAAATACTTTAGGCCCGAGTATGTTTGTCCAGCCCGTCTATGCGAGGATCATATTATCCTCATGATTGAGCTGCCAAAGTCCGTCGACTTCATGCATCCTGTATCTGCGACAATGGACTGTTCATTTGAACTGAGGTCTGCAGCGAGAATCCGTCGGAGTCCGCGATGTTGAGGATCTTGGGAGGTGGTTGGTGTTTCACGAGCGTGAGAAAACATCCGGGCGTTAAACCATACACGGGACGTGGTGTTCGTGCCTTCCATGTTTCGCATGAATGAGCGACAGCACTCGACCAAAGTTTATGAGTGGATCTCGATGCGATCAGCAAGTCCTACGAGCAATTGGAGGCCATACTTATCTTTGCCCTTCGTTTGTTATGACCTACTTTAGATGTAACATTCTAGTGCGTACACATGGGTTCTGCACACAATTCGCCTTTTCCACTTCAACTCTCCAATTTGAGCTCGTTTGACTCGGTTCCCAAGATTAACACCGCTCCATCGCATTTTCCAATACATCCCAACTGTGAGTGACGAAGTCCCCACCGAAACCAGCACAATTGAACAACTGCAAACAAAGCCTGTTGTATTGAGCTAGTAGTGAAGCCGATAAATGTAGACATTGCATGCTGGTCAACGTGCATGCACAGTCAAGCAAGCCCGTGGTCGACGCTTCGTTCCAGCGACACGTCTATCTGGCTCCAACCGCCGTTTACGTTTGAGTATAGGGGCTAGACTAGTTGCTTCAAGCTGTTCTCGTAGCCGTCATGTTGACATGCCGACCAGACGTCCAACATTTCTGTGTAGCAGGACACTCGGGCCCGTCCTGAAGAATTTCTGGAATCCAAAACAAGAGCCAACAAGGCCATTCCTTAAAAACCCAGTCCCCGAAAACAGCATCACCGCGCCGCACCCCGCATGCCCATTCGAAACACTACCAAAAGCCCGTCTTACATCATCATCGTGATTGCTTCCAGCGTTGCACAAGACCTCGTGCCGCATTCAGTACAGTCAGCACCGCGCCGCCCCCGCGCTCGCCATCTGGATCTGTACCCACCGCATCTGCGACGGTCTTGCACCAACACAGCAACAGTGGCCTGCATACGAGGTCCGCTGTGCTGCGGTGGCGGCATCTCGCATCGCAGCCGTATCACAACACAGTAATCCCGTATGCTGCGGGCGTATGGGCAGTCTGCGGGTCGAGGCTCTGGGCGCTCTGGGCGCTCTGGGCACTATAGCAGATAGATTGCGACTGGGGTTGGCGCGGAAACATAGATTGTGTACTTTGCGCGCATGGTGTGATAGATGGCGGTGATGATAGCACCCGCGGTGGTTGCAGAGTAGAGCGAGGTAGAGGGCACGGTTAAAGCAGCGCGCGTCGTTTGTTGAGTTTCGTGGTGCTGGCTGTTTGCGGCGGAAAGAGCGACTAGCGACTGCGGTATTCGCCGCTAGCTGGAATTGGCGTTAGCTTGGTCCCCCACCAAGGGAACACATGGGCTGCAATCAGGACGTCGTCGACCTTACCACACTCCACCAACCCGGGGCGAGCAATAAACATGGCTTTGGCGGGAACGCTCGAGCTGATTGAGCGGGACGACGCGGGACATGTCATAGCTACCTTCATCGAATCGGCGGCTGGCGAGGGAAGAAGCAAGGTTGATGCTGTGGTGTGTCGCAGCACATTTACTTGACCAGAATGCTCTCTGACCACAACAGCGGCCCGAACAAAGGAAAAGCTATGCACAGCAGCTGCTTGAAGTGTTTCTTCCCGCAGGATATCCGCATACTGTGACAGAAGACTACATACAGTGCGTTTCTTCAAGGCAGGGGCGAGGACACGCGCATGCCTCTGCACGTCACCCCGTCTCACAAGCTGATCTCGACGCTCGCCATCAACAGGTACCAGATCTACGTACGCAAATCCTCACGCCGCTTCAAACAGCCTCGAGACATGTGTGATTGACAAGTTCCGCTTGCTCCAGGACTCCCTCCAAGCCTTCTCTTCGTCGATTGCAGGACTCCTCTCTTCACGCGCTGTCCTGGAAGGTGAGTCAGGCATGTCGATGCATACACGCACTTTTCATATACAAAACAATGAAGTCACTAGCGAGCCGGTACCGGGGCCCTGGATTCGTATCCTCAGACACATGACACCAGGATATAGATTGCTTCCGCATGGCCGTACATCCCGCTCTCGCCGGATCAGCAAGCCGTTTGATACCTCGGATGGCATCCGTGCATCTTGTAAAGGAGCTGTGGATCGTGTCTCCTCAGGAGACATGAGCTAACTGGCGGAATAATAGGTGTAGGTGTTGGTAACGCCGATGCTTCGCCAACGGCCGCACTGCTGCTCTCGGTACTGCAGGAGTCCATGGGGAGGATCGCAACCATTCTCTTCGCGCATAGGCTGGGCACATCGCTGGAACCGGAATGCAAAATGTATAGACTTGCAGCAGACATCTTCAACGATGCCGCCGTGGTTCTAGATTGTCTGTCGCCGGCGTTCCCTAAAACAGCCAGATTCCTGTTATTGTCATTCTCGAGCGTCCTTCGGTCGTTATGCGGTGTATGCGCAGGATCGTCCAAGGCGAGCTTATCTGCCCATTTCGCGAAACATGGGAACTTGGGAGAGCTCAATGCTGTAAGTCATCGCTTTTTTATTATCAGAGGATGCATGGCGTGATGTTCATAAACGTGCCTGGCTCACCTTCATCTACCCACATAGGCGTGAGAGCTTGCATGATAAAGCCAGTGCTGATCACCCTACAGAAAGACTCTAGCCAGGAAACTGTAATATCGCTCCTAGGCATGTTGGTAAGTGTCCTAAATCTCTCTAATGCAGAGTACCGTTCGCTTGTGCCTTCTGCTGCACCGCCATCGTCGCGGTATACCATCGTATCCCGATGTACATGCTATGTTTTGCCAGCTAATCACCATACAGGCTGGGAGCTTAGCAGTGTCACAAATAAGTACATCTATGGCCACCTGGAGTACGCTCATTGCTCTGCTGTCGGTACATTTAGCGACGAACTATGCTGCGGTGAAATCTGTCAGCATGCGCAGCCTGAACAGGCAAAGGGCTAACGTAGTGCTGAGTAGCCTTCTGCAGGACGGTCGAATCCTGTCGCCAGCCGAAGTCTCCGCCAGGGAACGGATTTTCGAGCGTGACGGAGCACTACGTTGGACTGATGGTAGCCTAGTCGGTCACTGCAAGATCGGTGTGCCACTGGATGATTTGCTCAACTGTATGGGGCACCACCACAAACGGTCAGGCGCGCTAGACCTGCAGTATCTCAACCTCTCCGATCTGGTACGACTCTATCAAGACGAGGCATATTTGCTCTGGTGTCGCGGGTCCGATGCCGTAATCGTTCTAAAGCAAGAATGTACTCCGCTGGACCAGCTCAAAGCGTGGACGCAGGCGCTTTTGCTGGCTCGCAAGGGAACCATAGACTGTAAGCCCAAAGATGCTGAGCATGACACATCAGGCAGGCGACAGGCTGAGCTCAGATTCGCCTTGGAGGAAGCGCAAAAGTTGTTCAATACGTACGAAACAAGACTACGGGATGCTGGATGGGATCTGGATGTCGCTGTCCTAGAAACACGGCCCGGCGTGCGGATACAGATTGAAACGAAGAAGACAGTGTGAGACCGTCGTCAACGGAGTTTCTGCCGGCAACAGCATCCAGATGTACGCAATATCTCTTCGACAGGGTACACCCATTGCTATGTGCGGTTAGGCAGCCTGGAATCGGACATGTATCAAAACCGAGCGGTCGCACGCGGCTCGGAGCGATTTGATCGACGACAGCATCATGTATCCCACGCTCCCCATGTTTCGCGGCGCTTGCCGCCAAGATTGGCCGTTTGAACCCAAGCACAAGTCGTGACCCCCACATGTCACACTGTTAGAGAGATGTGATCCACCTGTCACGTTTCACTCTGGCAAAGTAGCGCGGATGTGTGGTCCGAACAACACAAGGTGAAGGCTCTTCGGAGCAGTGGCCTCAGAGTCCGGTCGGCAGCAAGACCGTATCGGGCGATGAGAATCCTGCTCCCGGATATCTGGAACAGCGTTCTGCGAGATGCAGAGGCGTAGAGTTGGTTAAGACGGATCATCCCACGCAACGCACAACAACGCATTGTTCTGTGTTGTACACTAGGCATGATGCAATTGCGAGCCAAGAGGCGTTGAATTGTCGGGGTGTTTTATTATTAAAAAGTGGCGTGGGCAGGGATTGTGGTCAGATCTCCGGTTGCGATGCGGCTAAAAGCGAGCCAACTGGGCGGTGAGGCGGGAGAATCGCTTCGCAATGCCCACAATGACAGAAGCGCATCTCCACTCCAACATCATGTGCGTGTGATGTGTTTTGTGCGGACAGAATTTTCTGTTGCACTCTTCTGCTGGTAGCATCGCTTACAGCCGGTAAGAGCACGTTGGGACGGGCTGGCAAATGTGGCTTCAGGACGTGAAGAGGCTCTTCAAGCGTGGGCGCGCGACATGCAGTTGCCGAGGGAGGCGCTGGAGCTGTCACGCAAACGGACACAATGCCCGTGTTGGTGTTGGCAACACGAAAGCGAGCGGATGATTAAGACGATGTGGGCCCCAGGCGCACGTCCCCTGAATCGGATGCGGTAGGCTTCTAGAAGCAATCTCGAATTTTCTGTGCATGGAAGGACGGAGCACGGTGATGAAAGTGGAACAGGGGGGGTTGGTGAAACGTCAGCAGCTTGCAACGCGGGTCGCCCCTCTTTTACCGCCGCGCCAAAGCAGTGGTGGGCACAAGAGGACGGTAGCGATGGATGCGGTGTGGTCGTCGCAGCATCGAACGATGGCAGCGTTGCACGCCCAGCAGGCGAGTGGGCACCGGCGCTGGCGAGGGCGGATCTCGTGTGGATCTGCGTGGTGTTGAGAGGGCTCGCGCGGGCCCGTTCATTACGGTAAGAATCAGAGTCGGCGGCGCGTCAGGCAGGGTGTGGGAGAGGCTCGCGTGTGCCTTGGCCCCAGCGATAGGGCGAAGAGTCAGCCAGGACGAGATGTGATGGGCGCGCGGCGGCTATTGGACGGGGGCGGCAAGGAACGGGCATGGAGCGCAGCCGGGCGGGCGTGATGTGAGCACTGAGGGTCGGCGTCACGCAATCCGAGCGAACAGTGAGCACGTCGCACGACGTTGCATGGCATCGTCGGTCTCGCGAGCGTCGTCTTTGTGCTCGCAGCTCGCAGCGACGTCGACAATGCCATTGGCACGGGCGGGCTGGCCGGAGACAAAGCGAGGCAGGCCCTTCTCAACGCACTTCGGCCGGCCTTCCTCTGGCGTTGGTAGGGCGCTTTAGCGTTTGCGGTGCTCGCCTGGGCATCGTGTCCTCGCAACGGGCTCGTGGCACCGACGCGCTGGACGTGCCGCAGAGGAGGGGAGGGTGCGAGACAGCTGCAAGAGGCAGTCTCTCTGCTGCCGTGGAGGAGCAAGCGCGGCTCCGTGAGCGGCGGCCCTGTGGTGGATACAGCAGCGTAGAGTGCAGGCGGGCGTGATTCTGGCTCTCTGGCGCTCTGGCGCTCTGGCGCTCGCTGGGCCGGTGGCGACTGGGCCCGCCTGCTGCTTAGCGTCTCAGCAGGGGCGCCGTTAGCTGCGTCCCACGGCGGCGCTAGAATTCTTCGATCCTCGTTCGATGGCGCGTGCCCCCAATGAGCTTGTTTACTGCTGCTGCCGCTTTAACGCGCTGTGACTCTCGCCGCCCCGTCGCTCTGACAGTGCGCCATTCCTCATTCCCTAATCCCTTCCACCCCAACCCACTCGATACGCCGAACGTGCTCCCTCCTGGCCTGCGCTGACCTGCCCCGTCCGCCAGCCCAGGTCCAAAACGACACACGCCCCAAGCCTGACTCCTGCGCCCTCCCGCCGCTCAAAACCACGCTGAGCCGCACCCCGGGGCTGCCTCCTCCACGAGAGCTTGCTTGCCAAAGGCGCTGCTGTCTCACCTCCGCCCGCTCACAGCCTGCACACGCCCAACCACCCCTCGACCACCACGCTCCCGACCTGCAACCCGCCGTGTCCCCGCGTGCGACACCAAACCCCCCGTCCAACGTCCTTGCCCTGCCGCCTGCCGCCTTCGAGAAGACGCTGCAGAACAGCAAACGCGAGGTCCTGTGCGAGTCCGGATCCCGCCTAGCCGCAGCACACCTCCCGATCGTGCTCCTCCACGCGCCAGTGCCCTCGATGACCCCGTCGCTGCGATAACATCCGCCCACGCCATCGACCTGCCACTGGGTTCTCCGAACCTCGTGCCACCACCCGTCAAGCTGGCGCAGCAATTCCGCCCTCAGTGCTGTTCCTGTGAAGGCCCTGACCGCGACGGTAGAAATAGCGCCCGTCGGGTGTACAAACAGCTGCGGAGAAGCATTATGAACTCCAGAAAGACTGGCACCGCCCCACTGTCAATACGAACCTCATCCTCCACCGCCTCGTCGCCCACCACGTCGACGGCTGAGCCCGACGACGAAGACGTCAAGATGTCCATGGCAGAGTACCACCCGCCCTCGCGGCCCTTGACCGTGTCGATACCACGCAGCATCGCCTCTGCCTCCAACCGAAGACCCAACCTCTCCGAAATCCTCGCAAACACCGCTCCCCCGCCCTACACACTCAGCTCCTTCATGGCCTTCCTGTCCCAAAACCACTGCTTGGAGAATCTCGAATTCACAATGGATGCCTCTCGGTACCGAAAACACTACTCAAAGATGGTCAACCGCCATCCGGGCACTCCCATCTCTCCTCTCTCTGATGAATGTGCATACGTGTTGATGCTGTGGAGACGCTTGATTGACGCCTACATCCGCGAGTCCGGGCCTCGAGAGGTGAGTGACCTACCCAGCTGTCACTGTATGTTTGCTAACTCAGAAAGGTCAATCTTCCGGCCGACGTCCGTGACACCCTGCTCAACCTCTCCGATTCGTACGTTCCGCCGCACCCCTCAGCATTGGATGAGGCCGTCAACAAAATCTACGAGCTCATGGAGGAGAGCGTACTCGTTTCTTTCCTCAACTCAGCATCACCTATGAGCGCTTTGGCATCAGCTGTTAGCCACGACAGCCACGACTCGAGCGCGACCCGTTCTTCTACCCGGAGTTACGATGAACGCACGCTCTACCACGCTCGCACTTCCGCTCACCCTCCCGTCCACCAGCGTGCTTCTGCACCATCCTCACTCACCTCCAACTTCATGCACGCACGCCCCTTCTCACATTCTCGCTTCAACTCCCAACCGGCAACCTCATCGGCATCACCCTCTCGCGGCGCACTAAGTTACGCCAGTGGTAGTGACGCGTTGACCGACGACTCTGGCAGTAGAAGCCCATCAGGCATGAGTGATCCGCTGACTCCACCGGGAACACCGCCAATGAGCGACTATCCGATGACCGATTTTCAGCAAGCCTACTACGAGAACGGATCGAACAGTGGCACTCCTAGCCCCCGGACGAGCCGAGGCGAACATAGTGGTTTGGCGAATGCGACCCGAGACAGCTGGAAGCGAGTGAGCAGTAAGCTGTGGCCGAAAAAGAGAAGTGGTGGCCACCTGAGAGAGGAAGAGCAGGGAGTTGTGGAAGGAGGACTCTTCTGATTCGTTTCGACCATTCTGCATCCTGGATTTTCATCCTTTGATCCGGCCAGTATTGGATCAGATCATAGTAAAACGATTACGACAGTGTGGCAACAGAGCGACTTGCATCTGCATTGGGCTGCATACCCCGGCGTCACTTGTCATATTTTTCCTGCAAGGCGCATTGGCGATTTCACATCTACATCACCACATTCAGAGTGGTTTTACATTGGATCTACAATCGGCATCATCTTCGCTTCTAGATTCGGCGTTTACACCAATTGTGTTATAAAATTTGGGGTTTGGGACCGTGGGGGCTTCATTTTGGTTTTATCTGGATACCCGACCGTGCGGACGGGCTTGGGATCACGGCGTTCTGCTTCAGCTTGCAACGTCAGGCTGGGAATATTCCAATCATCATGACGGAAGTGGATACGAAGGGGTCCGGGCGGCTATTGTTTTACTATATTGTACATTTTTGATGAGTCAATTCTTCACGTATGCTGGTCCTGCAGAAGGAACTGGTCGACGAGGTGGATCAGATATAGATCCACAATACCCGCTCTATTGCAGAGCCAGCGAGCATTCGAACTTGATCTACTCGACCGCAACTTATTTACGCATGCATGTTTTGGCTCCGACGTGACGTTAAGCTACCTATCACGCTCTGAGACGGCAACTCGCGTGGTGAGCACTTCCGACGATAGGGCTTCTTGGTCTTGCCGCGAAGGAGCGCAGCAAGCGGTGAGACAAGGCCGTCATTCACGCACGTATCCCACACCACGAGGGCTTCTAGGAATGTTCTACACATGTAGGTATAACAACCCAACAACTCAGTGCAGCTCACCCCCACCCCAACACATGCTAAGCACCTTTTTGAGCCTCCTCAGCCCAGCGTCTTCACTCGGGCGCCGCATCCCCAGCTTTTGCACGAAGGACCGCAGGATGATATGTTGGTGGCGGGCGACATCAGTGGGGCGGGTGAGCCCGCTGCTTCCCCAGCGCAGCAGCGTGGACAATGGATGACGCGAGGTCCCTCAATGTTCATGTAGGTGAGATGGGAAATGTGTTGGCCAGTATAGCGTGTGGGGGGTGGCATAAGACGACTGTTTAGCGACCATGTTTTTGTTGGTATGATAACACGAGAGAGGACGCTCGCTTGGGAATGGTGCTTTGTGGGGAAATCCTCAAGGCGGAGTTGAGTATGATACGGGAGGCCCGGTGATTGGGACTCGGACTGAGGCTGTGGTTCTGCTCGCTTGTGGCCGTCGGTGATGCATCCGATGGTGCTCTGGGCTGTAGTCCGAGGCGAGGGACATGCAATGTGTATGTATTGGTTTTGCCAGACCGACCGATGGCCCTACACTACAGGACGCTCGTCCCTTGCTCCCATTCCCCATCGATCCTCCCAGACGATATCACGGGCCAGCCGTAGAGTCATCAATGTATACGTACCATAGTAACATCCGGCTCGCGCGACATAACACCCGCCTAGGCATAGCTAGACGCGCGCAAGCCTGATCCTTCTCGGTTTCGTCGGCCTTCCCACCCTCCGAAACCTTGGAAGGTGCGATACACGCCTGCGCTTTCCGTATCGAGTGCTTGCTCGTAGGATTCCCCAACAGCGAGCCACGTGGCTGCGCACGAATCACGCGTAGGCATGTGCTGTCCGTATTCCATGGTTGCGAGGTGAGACGAGTGCCGAGATCGGTTGCATGTAATTCCGTACAAGGCGACGTGCATGAGGATTGAACTTTTTACGTGCTAGACACCTCAGTGGGCGACGCTGAAGGCATCGATGGGCCGCATAGACAGTAGCCCAAGTTGGGGGTCAAGAAGATACAGTGTAGCAGCTCAATCTCGACCTCACTCTACTCTACATGCACACAAACACTTCTTCCGGCTAGGCCACTACCGAGGTACTGTAGTACACCGCATCTCGATTTTCTGCATGCTAACGACCTAGAGAGCGTGCATGAGGTTAGATGAGGTACTAAATACCTCAGTAGCACGACGTCGAGCTCCAATGCAGACCACGCCCCACAGCACATGGTCCGTCCGGGAGCGTATGCACACCACGAGAACCGTCTGCGAGATGGCTCAGGGTCCACTTGGTAGTCGCACAGCAGTACTGTGTACTTGCTCGCGCGAATACGCACCGAGTGTTCAGGTTTCTGCTCAGAACGAGTTGCAACGGTCCGTGGTACCATGCAGGCCTGGCCATGTCTTCCTCTCACCTCATCCACGATGGCCATGACGAGCACCAGCAGAACCAGCACAGGGGCAAATTGCGCCCCAACGCACGCCCAAGTCGTGCACTAAGTCGGACCTGAAGCCAAAAAGCGGAGCTCACGGGGTGTTGGCGGCGCAGACATGTTATTAGACCGAGCAGTCGGCAGGCACGTGGTGGGGTGATGATGATGGGTGCGATCGGCGTTCCTGCGACCGAAGGTTTCTAGAAAGCAAACTCCCCGAGGAACGAGTCGTTGCTGTGTGACGTGACGTAGGCGATGGGCGATCGATCCAGTGGAGCAGTGGAGGCAGGACATGTGGAATGTGGACGCGAAATGTTGATCGCCCGGAGGTTTACGAGTGGCGGCGGGCCTATCATGTTGATCTTGTTGGGCGTTGCGGTGCTTCTTCTTCGTTTGTTCCAAGGTGCTATTTCCGGTCCGAGGAGGGAGCCATGCGTCTGCACATGTCTGCGATTCAATGCGACACAGAGCACCACGCTCCTATCACGATGCCGCCCACACAACCTTATTATTCAGCCCACACCGCAACCTAGCGCCCAGCATCCCCGCCTGCCCAAACCCTCTCAGGTCCCCGCGGCGCCACAAAAGCAGCGCACAAGATCGACAACGCTCGGCGGCATTGTCCACCTGCACTTGACTTGGCCTAGCACGTCGTCCTAATTCGTCGCTTCCAACAGGCAAACTATGCCATTGTAAATGCCATGCGAACGTCCTCTTTGTGCGTGGCAAATGTCGTCGTGTGAGCTAACCCGCGCCCAAGTGAACAGCGCTGGATGAGGTGGTCACCATATCGAACGGGACTCGGGTTCGACAACATGCAGTGTGTTTAGGACGCAGAGCTTGTCTGCACCTCTCCAAGCAACGAGAAACGAGTGTACCCTTCACCACCCTGTGTATGTACTGATCAGACGCCATCCGTTGGTATCCACAGTTGAAGAGCGCGCTATGCATTGTGCAATGCAGTCCGGCCCGAGTGCATGTCCGAAGCCGACAGTAGATTTGGCGTACCACAATGCCGGAGTCTCCTACTTGCATTGTGACGCTGCGGCTGCTGCTACAGTAGCCATGGTAACCATGTTCACTGCGAAGACCCGATCAGCGAACTTCGTCGACCAGGTAGACATGCAGCCGTTTAATCTACACGAGTGCACTACGCCCGGTAACAGCAGTGCAGGCTAGCTATTTGTAAACGCCCGCCTAATATCAAATGCCGAGAACGTAAACGTAGCGAGGCTAAATGGGGAAGGTGACGACGTCAGCTATACGATGGGTGGACAACGTGGGTTTGCGGGGTTGCGATAAGCAGGGGGAGGGCTTCGGGGAGAGTGGTCTTCGTCGACGTGAGACCGTGAGAGCGAAGTGCGGGATATGGGCGGTGTGGTGTTGGTTGCCAAACAGAGGTGATCGAGATGCCGTGCGCAGACATCTTCTGGTTCTCCGCTGCATGCATGTCTGTCACTCCGATTGACGACCGATAAACGACAACGTGATGGATCTGCACTCCCTTCTTCACTTCAAGCAATAGGTTGACTCGACGTCAGTTGTGGGCGTCAACCTCGGATCTAGACAACGCCGAAGACTAGATATGCATAGGTCCGTGGGGTACGTCCTGAACATCTCATCCTTCGCAATAATGTCTGCGAGTTATACATAGCAGACATTACCCGCGGAAGCGACGTTGAGAGTTCCTGGTTGTCGACGGGCAGGTGCCGTAGTCAATGAGAGTGACACCCTGTCGGTACAGCGTCGCTTTCGCTGCCCGGGCTCAGCATCTCGGCGCTGCGCTTGGTTCCGCATATCATGTGCAAAGAGTGGTTAATCTGGGCAGTGGGATGTAGATGAAGAGAAGACCGATCTCTGAACGGATACGTACAATGCAGGCTGACCGATGCGACTAGGAATAGAGGCCGGTATTACAGTTAGCGACTTCGATGTACGGTTGTACAACCTTGAACCTTGGAAGGGATTAAAGCAGCAGATTGCATAGCATCGCACATTGCTGGGATTGCAAGCTGATATCTGCACAAGGGTCCTGTTCGAGGTCATTAAAGTGGTATGGATTCATACAGTATTATAAAAAGGTATTTCCTCCAATGGGGCTGACAAAGCGCCCTTTCCGCGCTGCCTTCATCTCAGCATACAGTGCCGGATTGATGCCTTTCTTCTTGCACTTCTTCAGCTCGGCCTCGCTTAGGCCGCTTGTGTCGAAGTTGCTCGACTTCCAGTCTTTACTTGATACGGATAGCTGTGATGTGTTGCCGTGGGACGACCCTGGGAAGGCAAATTCGGAAGGTCTTCCGGAGATGGTCATGGATGAGGTAGATGAGTTTGTTGGTGAACGTTGGTCAAGCGAGATTCTCTTTTCGATCTCGAGACTTTCAGGTATTAACAGTGGTTCGGGCGCCTTGTCTCCTTTCAGCTTCCTTATGATAGATGCGGTTGTCGATTTCTTCGAACCACTGCCGTGTGTTGCAGTGGACGTAGACCGCACTGAGCTGCTCGCGGATGATTCGGGGCGTGAGTGATCAGAAGGTGTTCTGGGTAGTGGCACGCTGCTTGATGGTGGCGTTGTGGGTATGTCTTCAGCCGTTAGGTCCTCGTCTTCGTCATCATCGTCGAACGAGAGATACTGCCGCTTCGAACCTAAGCTAGTCCCAGTGCGTGTACTTTCCGATCCATCAAAAGAGTTCTCTCTCGAGGTTTCTTGTGTTGTCTGAACAGAATCTATCGTCTCGAGAGAACTCCACCGCCGGAGGCTGTAGGGCGCGCGAGAGCTCTTTCGGTACGAGAGCGGCCTAGGAGGATTACGGAAGGAAGATGTATTGGCATATCTGGGTTGCGATTGAGACTGGAGTTGGTTTTTGAACGGATGTGAAAAATTCCTAGCATGGTTGGTCCGACTTGGCCTGGGGGGTTCGGGTTCGAACTGTGTTCGCAGAGGGCTCTTGTTCGGAAGCGGAGGTGCGTATCTGTTCGGAGTAGGAGCAGGATTCGTGTCGATGCGAAGAGGTGCGGGGACCGGAGCTGGGGCTCTGGTTGGGACCGAAATAAGGTCGTTGTACTGAGGATACGGCAACACTATGGTCCTGGCGGGAGGTGTCGCAAGGCGCGAAGGAGCTGCTGACTGGCGTAGTGACCATTCTGAACGCTTCGGAGAGGCCGCTGGAGACTTGGAGGCATGGGCCGTAGGTGACGGGCCTAAGGAAGTCGTCCTCAGCCGTGGGATTGGCGGTGGGGCCGCTTCCTCGTCGTCGAAGCCGTCTTCCTCCAGATGGAAGTCATCGATGGCCTTTTGAAGCTCGAGGACCTCACGCGGTGCACGGCGAACGGGTGGAGGGACGCCGTCTATGTCCATGCCACACTGCTGAGTCGCAAAGAACATCGTCCTGGTGGAGACAAGTCGTCAAAGTTCGACACCGGCTTGCGGGGTTCTACACAGAGGTTGATGACGTTGGGACATGGCCATGCCCGGCGCGTTTCTCTAGCCCTTCGCGTGGCTGACATCACCGTGAGGGACGCGTCGCCGTATCTCAGGCCATGGTCAAAGGAGCAGCCCGTCTGCAACTTGGCCGCCGGACCACTCACCGCATGCGATGCGGAGCGCCACGCGATCGAGAATCTGTCGACAGGTGGAGCTCGATCACCGCTACGACTCGTCGGCCTGGCATCTGGCATCAGGCGCGACGGCGCCAGACTACCACCGTAGGCGAGCCGTTTGATGCTTGTCGCAACGCTCCCGCTCACGTGCTTCCAACCAGCCGTATGAGTATGAGTATGAGTACCGGTATGAGTATGGCTGTGGCTGTGGCTGTGGCTCTGGCTATGGGCGGGCGGGCGCTGTGGCAGGCTCGCGGCTGCAGGGTCCGGGGCGTTTCGCGGTAGCTTGCGACGTTCAGGCTGAAGCTGAAGCCAGGTCGACGTGTTGCGGCAACGTTCAGAGCGTTCCTGCCTCTTTGCCCGATGCAGCCTAGGCGCTCCTTCCCGCCAACACGGGCTCCTTGCGTGCTTCAGCGGCCTGCAGCCACGAGCACCTCGTCCACCGGCAGCGTTCCGACGAGCATGCCACGACCGCTCAGGCCGTCCTCGCCCGCCCGCTGCGAACGCTCCCCGCTCCAGTCGCCATGAGCAACGACGTGCCCACGCCCATCTCCGACGACGAGGTGGTGGCCCTCGCAAAGGCTGCCTTCGAGCAGTCTCGCGACGACATCAACCACCGCGCCGCAGAGACGCCCAATGCCGCGCGCGAGCTGCAGTCGCAGCAGCCCGGCATCACCATTGACCTCGGCCACAAGAGCATCGCCCGCCTGCCCGACGAGGTCATCGATGTCATCCGCGCCGAGATCGAGAGGTGGGCGCCCTACACACACCTATACCACGCACACGAGGCTAACTGACGGCCCAGGCTTGCCCTCTCTCACAACCTCTTGACCACCCTCCCCTCGCGTCTCATCGAGTGCAAGCGCCTCCGCTACCTCAATGTGCGCTACAATGCCCTGCGCGAGATCCCCGATTGCGTGCGTTGCCAGCCTCCGTCACTTGCCCGCCACATGCTGATGGCCAGTAGATCCTTGACATGACATCGCTCGAGATCTTCGATGTTAGCAGGAACAAACTCCGATCCATACCGCCCAAGATCGCCAATCTCGCTTCGCTGAAGGTGCTAGCTATCGCGAAGAATCGGATAGAGGAACTCCCCGTGTGCCTGGGAGAGATGAACAGTCTGCAGGTCTTAAAACTCGACGGTAACCAGCTGGTATTCCCTCCGCCGGATGTCTGCACAATCAAAAGCAATGCCCCGTCGCCCGCGAATGAAAACGAGCGAGACGCCGTTATTTCAACCCAAGTGAAGAAATTCATGAGGCAGCACGCATCCAAAGAGAAGCAGCGTGTGGAGATGGATCGCTTACGGGTCGAATCGTCTAGCGACGAGAGGTTCATCTCCCTCATCCGGTGATATTTCTCTGCTGACTTCAGGCAGTTGGACCGAAAGCAATCCTGAGACACCGCGCCCATCAAGGCGCGTCAATGGCGGACGGTTTCCTGTCAAACCGAGCGTGAGCAAAATAGAAGGTTTTCCGGAAAACCGCTCTGATTCGCCTGGCATGGCACCACCCATCCCCTCGCGATCACACTACCGCGTAGCCTCGCAAACACAGTCAAATGGACCATCTCGAAGACCTCAAATCTCCCCGCTCATCTTGACCAACGGTTCCACCGGCTCAAATGAGCGCAATCGAAGCCAAAGTGAGGGTGGAGGCTCAGGATCCTCTACCCACCGCCAGAAACGCATGGGCATCTACACCAAGCAGACTCCTGAGCTCGGGGCTGTAGATGAATTGAAGAGAACAAGCCACTTTCGGGGTTTCAGCCAGGGTTATCTTGTGCCTGGCAACAACCTGGCCAACGGCTTGTCAGGTCCAGCCACAGCTATCGGCTACGGTGACTCTAGCACTATGCGACCCCCTGGCCAACCGTCCGCTCTCTGATGTTTACGAAGATAAGCGCGGATCCCAGGCTCCAGATATTGTTGTGGAGGCATCAAAGAATTTCCTCTATGCGGTCTCTCAGCTGCATGATTGCCTTTCGCACATGATACGTTCGATCAAACGAACTGCTCGTTCAAAGGACGAAATGCGTCGAAAAGAAGATTTTTTCCGTCGACACAATACGACTTACCTGAACGTCCGCATTCTGAACGACCTTCTGCACAGGTTCGAGACGCTCGCTGAAGAAGACGAAGAGGATGCGCAAAAGATCTCCAAGTCTGTCTATCAGTATGCTCTGAGGTGCCTCGATTCATTTTTGGCTTTAAGTTTCTCGGTAGCTGAGAACCGCGTTGAGATTACGCGTTATGCAGATGCTCGTATTGTGCGAACTTTCCTTTTCCTCCAGCAGGGTAGTTTGATCGAGATGCGAAATGCATGTCAGATTCTAGGAGCCGAGTTCCGCGATATCGCCGCGTCCAATCGACAAGTCAATGGCGCGAATAATACGGGCACTCTGCGACCTCGTCCGCTTAAAGCGCGTCGATTTCAGCAATCACCACCCCAGCGCAATGGTTCCTACCAGATGCCACCGCCAGTAATATTGCACAGCAACGACAATAGTAGGACAAATACCCTTACGAGCATCAGTTCTGCAACACCTCGGTCTGGCGAATCTTTTGCTACTTTGGCTACCACTATGTCACGGACTAACACGCTAACAAGCAGTTACGAAGAGGCAGACGAAGACAGCCGATTCGCAAGGATCTTCGACAAGCTCAGAGCGGCATGTGAAAACTGCGAGACTTCCATACCACAGATTATAGATCGTCTCACGAACACCCACAGACAAATTTCGAAAGATTTAGACTCTGAGGACCCGAGACTAAAGGTGCTAGGAGGCTTGATTGAGAAAAGTCACGAAGTACAGCACATATCGAGCCGACTCTGGGATCGCTTGAGATACATGCAGTTTGGCGACCATTATGTTCGTGATCAACCAGAGTTCTGGCAACAGTGCATGGGTTTCATCAAGGTGCGTTCTGCTATGTCATTTGTTTCGTTGAACTGTTGGCTGAAAAGTTTCAGGCTTGGGGTGATTTGGCCACAGCCAGTACAGCACAAGGTCGAAACATGGGCCTGCTTAGTTCCGAGGTCAAACAGTTGATGAAGCCCCTACATAAGACGGTCAAAGATGCTAGTTTCGTTATCCACGATTCTCCCTGGTCACATCTTACGTCGAATAACCCTGGACTCATGTCTTCGCTTTCGTCTTTCACGTCCAGAACCCAGCCTCCAAGGTTCCTGAGCAAGTCAACCATGAGTTCTGGCACAGGACTCTCACTCCCGGGTCCGATAAACACCTCCATCACCAACCTGAACTCGGCTTATGCACAGCCTTATTCCACGGCCAGTGTAGGGTCACAAGGTTCGGGGGGGTATGTTACCCCGGTGCCGGCAACACCTCTGAGTGCTGCCTTAGGCGCCGCTGCGCAAGCAACGATTCCGAACACGCCAAATCATCCTCCGCATCTATCCACCAGCACGATCAACTTCAACGAGCGTGCTGACCGGTTCTTGAGTCAGACCGCTCGGCGCATATGACAGATAACCATCCGGGCGCCAAGTTTACAGCTTCCGCGTCATAGACTTATTTGTAGCTACCTGTATCTTTATCTCACTTTTCAGCGAAGGCGTTTCAAAGATGTCGCTCATTTGAATTTCCCTAGGGTCAGTTGCATGACATAGGCGTTTAAACGCACGATTGGGTACACGTCTGCTATCAGGCATTTCCAGGTGTTGAGATGATTTAGGAATCATGTATGAATGAGGATTGCACCATATCTATCAGAGATGCATCAGTATGTAGAAAAATCGGACACAGTGGTAGTTTGACACCTTGCGAAAGTCGCTTCGCTTGCAATATTGTTACTATGCCCATTGCACTAGTAGGTGTTCTTAATTTAACGCGAGCTCTTGGCAAGAGGGAACGGGATAAATATGAAAGAGGATGTCAGTTTCGTTTAGATAACGCTGCCTTTCTCGGCGTCTTGGTATGTCTGCCATCACGCGATTCCTAGGTTTCGGTCACGCGTCAGTTGAGACTATTGCTCTTAGGTTGCTCTTGGCTGGGGTCAAATTCGTAAATATGCACCTTCTTGCCCTAAAATGGTCAGCTGTCGGGCTAGCATCGTCCGAAGCAATGTCGATCTGGGGTAATATCTGGGGATGTTGCACGAGGTGAAGTGGATGATTAGATCGACTATTGGTCCGACCATGAACGAGAAAAACGCTTGGTATGTTACACTTCTGTATGCACCCAAGCTATTTTGCTAATTGAAATTATTGCTGACTTGTCAGGGAGATCTACAGGACGGAAGAACAAAAAGCGGCCACGGCGTGAGGAAATTCAGGACCGAAAGGTGGAGACTGGGTAGGAAAGCAGGACGGTGAACAAGCTATAAACATAGCTTATTCTGCGGGTTGTCGATTTCGTTTTGAAAGCAGCTACATTGTAGAACGCTGAAATGGCACGCTCCCTACTCATCGCGGCGGCGCTCGCGCTCGTCTCTTCTGTCACCGCGCAATGCGGCTCCGGCGCGAACGCAAAGGTAACAGGCTCTGGTAGCTCTTTCACAGCCACCAAGGGCTCGTCTACGGTATACACTGGCTCCGACTACCGCGCTGCTATTCAGGCCGCTGTCGACTCCATCAGTAAGTCCTCCCCAACCCACTACCCAATACCCACCACACAATACCAGCAACATACCTTCTGACTTCCCATGCACTAGGCAGCGGCCAACGCGTCTCGGTCATCGCATCCGGCTCCATCGGTGCCTCCACCATCACAATAAGCAGCGGCAAAATTTTCGAAGGTTGCGGCACAATCAACACCGCGAGCCGCGCGGGCCATGGCGCGATTGAAGTCCTCAACGCCTCAGGCGTGCAGATCCCGCACCTGACGATGACGGGGAGCCCGTACTTTGGCTTAAGATTTTATGGCACGAAGGATCTCGTGCTGGGCAAGATTACGATGAATCTAAGTGGCGGGCTAGGCAGTGAGTACCACGTGCGGACAAATGTCTTGATCGGGAATGACTGATACTATAAACAGTTCGATTTGATAGAGACCAAGCTGCCAACACGAACGTTAAGATGGACGTCATCAATGTTACTGGAGCAGGCAGCCACGCCCTTGAGACATGGAACATCGACGGTCTGACTATAAACACGGTCATCGCCAACAATGTCGGTGAGTCCGGACTCCTGCTGCAGAAAACCACGAATGCGAAAGTCGGCCTTGTAGACGGAAATAACGTCGGAGCTGGAACCGGTTACGCTACCCTGCGCTTTGCAAACAACAACGGACAGCTCTCGTCCGGCGCGTACACTACCAACGTTGTCATTGACAAAGTGGTCTCTCGAGGTGGCGGCCGCGGCGTGTTCTGCGTGAGTCAGTCTGGTGGTGCGACGATTGGAACTGTAGACCTGGCCAGTAACGGCAACAATGCTATTTTGATCGAAAATTGCTACAACCTGAGGATCAATGGCGGGACTGTCAATGGAGGGGGTGAAGTCAGGATCTCGGCGAGAGACGAGTTCCCGAATACGAAGGACATCTGGATTACGCTCAAGGTGGATAATACGAGTGTGAAGGAGAGTCCATGTGGGGAGAATACGAATTGGACCCTGAGCGGGAATGGGGCGAGAAGTATCTGCTAATAAATGAGAGTACCACTTGCTTTTCGGGTTTATATGGCAGTAAATGGACCAAGTCTACGCAGAAAAATTGCCGTAATAGTACCACTCCTCAACCCAAAGAAACCCCCATGTTTCTCGTCCGGGTAGCCGGTCAAACTTGGCGAAAGCAAGTTGGCGATGCAGGCGGACAAGCAAGCGATAGATCCTACTGTGCAGATGCTGTTGACAGCCGCTTCATCTGTCCGCCAATTTTTAGAATGCGGCGAACGTCGTCGACGTAATCGTCGCCAATGAGGATCTCGACCACTTTCCACCGTGGCGCCGCAGTGCCAACCCTCGTCCATTCCTTAATGTTCACAGAAGTCGCTCATACGGAGTAACCTTTTCGAGTCCTAGGCCGATGACCCTCAGTCGTCCAGCTCTATCACCTCATCGCTCGCGGTGGGCATAGCACGGAGCTTCTTCGCGCATGGTTGGGTCCCCATCCACTGCAGCTCATTGTCATCCACCACAGTTTCGTTGGAATCACCTCGCTCCCGCTTGATACGCACTTGGTCTTGTCGCTGTTGCCTGAGCTTTCCACAAAGTTGACGCAGTTCTTCCAGTGTCATGTCGTTCTCGTCTCGCTCTAGAAGCGGGGTCGGGGATCGGGACGGTGTGGGAGGTAGGGCACGGGGGATCACGCCGAGATCCTGGAGAGCGTCTGAGTATCTATGTCAGCATGATTCGTTGTCTTCGATGGCAGGGAAGGGTTTACTTGTGGTGCGATATTTGAAGATGAAGGTACCGAGCTTCCCCACGGTCTTCACTTCCTCCAAGTGGCCGCCTATCTTGTCTACAGCAGGGGTAAGTCTATGGGCGCGTAAGTAGGCATGTAAAATGTGATCAGAAAAAGCTTACCCGACTGACTGCGCCGGCATGTATCCAGTCGTGGCCAGGGTCTCCTTGACTGCCTTCGCGCTGACTGATGTATCTGCCATAGTCAGTAAGACTGACCACAGGTAATATTTACAATATGACAAATAATGACTGGTTTCTCGTGACTAGCTCTATTGGTGCATACCGATAGTCTCGAATGCCAGCTGAGGAAGGTCTGTAACCGCAACCGTGTGTCCTTTGTCTGTGAAGAAGAAATCCAGCTTGATCTCTCCGTGATCCAGAAATCGGCGCCGCATCTTTTCTGTGGACTGATCCTCCACTGCACATAGAATCAGCGTCGCTATTCGTGGACAATATCGCAACGTACCGATGTCAAGTTCCGCAAATCTAAACCTCTGTGCGCGCATGGCGTCGCCCTGCCACGATTCTCCGCCATAACAGACCTGGCTATCACATCCATCCTTGGGATTGTAGCGCAGATCCGGTATGAGGACAGCCTTGCCGTCGAGTGAGGGTTCCAGGTATATATGATCCGAAGCGTAGCCGAAGCCAGGCATGCACTTGTATCGTATGGTAAACTCGCTGGATAGCGGACTTTCGACATATTTGACGATGCTTGTAGCTTCCAAACGAGTAGATGCAGGCACAGAATCCGCGTCATCGTTGTGTGTCGCATTCGCCTCAACGGAAGTGACCTCTATAGATGCATCTTCGGCTTGGGCGGAAGCGTGCTCTGGTAGTGGAATGCCACCCACCTCCACGGTGACCTCAAAGCCAGGGTAGCGAGGCAGGATTGCCATGTCGTTAGATCTCTATACGTGCGCCCTGCTCCGTTGCAATCGGCAAGGGCAATGGGTACGCAAGAAGCATAAGACAAGAGTAGCGCGTCAGGAATCTCAAGGTTTCAACGACGACCTCAGGAATTGGGAGGTGAGAGAAAAATCTTCATTCAGCAAGTGATGATGATGGGTGAAGGACGTGTGACAAACCAAGGTGAAGGACGTTCGACGGCGTAGCGTACTGACAAGTTGAAGTTCAGGAGATCACTATCAGGTACGATGATAGCTTACATACAATGGGGTGTCCGTAAGTAGGTCTGACCTTCCTCAATTTTCGCAGCTTTGACTGCAGACATATTCCATTCTTTGACCAGGTACCACAAATGCGCCACATAAGTATAGACCGTTAGAAGCGCGCGACGCACCGCCTTCTCTACTTCTTTCTCGTGCTATTACCTTAGCTCCTGCATAGCGTCGATCACGGATTTACAGTGATCCGTCCAATGCGACTCGAGTGAGATCGATGGTCTCTATTCCGTTGTCATCGATGGTAATCACGAGTTTGCAACGTTTGGAAGACGAAAGGACAGAGACTTCGTCGCCACGATCATCACTGTTCTGCGTCTGTGTATCTCCCTTTTGATTGTGAGTCTCTCAGCCTTGACTTTTTTGGCAACGTCCTCCCGTTCCTGAGTGGCTGTTAGCCATATACTGGCATAGAAATGTTCAACGCACTTTCTGTCGCCGAATCAGCTCCCTCATCTCCTCCGGACTTAATGAATCTACGTCTCGAGTCTTGAGAGGAACGGGGTTCGGGCTTCTCGGAATGACGTGCATCACTTGAAGTTCTTCTGCAGGTACGACTATTAGTATGACAGGTGCGGGAAGCGCACGCGAATACGTACTTTTCGAGCGGTACTTGAAGTTGAACTCCACGAAAGGCTTTCCACCGTACAATTCAGTGACCGACGTTTTAGTGTATGCCAAAGTAGCCTCTCGTGGTCCAACATCTGCCTGGTTAGATAAACCGCGGCCTTTCATGGCTTTCTCGGGAATTGTGCCGAGTCTGGCGAAGACCTAGGGATGCCCGATCTGATCTGCTTGAGAACCTAAATTGATGACCCATGTGAGTTTTACAGAAACGAGCACGGCCTCCTGGAGTTTCTGCATGAGCTCATTCCAGGTCGAACGCGTTAATTATCATCTTTCCATGATCGTGAGCTCGATAAGCATTGTCTCGAGCTTGGATTACCTACCAGTCTGGACGTCAGAAAAGACGAAGTTTCTCAAGAAATTTCCGACACTCGTCTTCTCTCGAACACCCTTTATCGGCCATGGGATAGATCGAATGCTTGTATTTTTGGCTGTTATAACATGCGAATCTCCATTTCTGCCGTCCACATAGGTGGTGACGAGGAGATCATGTTTGGCCTGCAATTGCGCGCTAATACTGTATTGGATATAGTATTCCGCACCAGTTGTAGCCTGGACGGACTTTGTGACCGAAGCAGGCATGTCCTGATTGTACTCGTCCTGGTATTCGCGGGCTGCTTGGCCATTGGCCCAGAACTGGACCGTGATGTGCGGGTTCGCTTTGGTAATTGCCATCGTGGCCCGAGGTATAGTAGTTCAAGACTAAGGACTGACTTGAGACGTACCGCGCGAGCGGGAGGACGTGGGACAATGGCGAACGCTGTCGAGGCGAGGACGCGTAGGCAGGACTGTGACGCCTGCAAATGACAGAACGGAAATACGTGAGAGTGAAGAGCGCGGTGACGAAGTGAAGGGGGAGAGTGAGAGCCCAAGAGGGCACTTGAGAAAATGGGCTGGGTTGTACGTGCCCGGGAGGGTAATGGAAGGCACGCGCTATCACGTTGGTACACGGGTGCAGATGCCCAGGTGCAGGTGCTCAGGCGCCTGCAGGGTGACAGAAATAATATATTATAAACTAATAAGAGTTTTTTATTTTAAAAGAAAAAAACTTATTAAAGATGGAAGGGTTTTGTACAAGTTTTTATATCTTTCTTTCATTAGGCTTTGATCTTTACGAAGTTTAACCTTTGAAAGAGCTTCTCCCTTACGATCTAAGTTGCGGCTGGAATGCAGTTTTCCAATTAGATAAGATTTACCCAATAAGTTACTCCCTATAGTCACTAAATTAGTCGCAAATTATTGAAAATCTGATTCCACTGCCGTGGGAGGTGGCCCACTCTTTTCGCAAAGTACCGATAATCCATAACGAGATCTATTCACGAAGCGAGAGAGCAACCACACTCCCCAAAAGCTAAACTAAATATTGAACAAAAGCTGTGCCACAACGTGTACTAGAGATAGACATTACGCCGCCGTGGCGAGCGAATCGCAAATCAGACCCAGCCCGGGGACGCCTGAAAGAAAGGAAAGACAAAAAAGCGGACCTTGCCGTGCGCAGTGTGTATAAAAGCAGACAAGAGCCCATGCAGACGCTATGCAGATGCCGAGTCGTTATCGTGAACCTCCCTCCGAACAGTGTTGACTAGCTACATCATCCCTTGGAAACCCAGACCATTCTCTTCTTGCGCGGCGCCGGTCACAGCAACGACAGTAGTGGTGGTGTTGCCAACGTCGTGTCACAACGCAGGGTATCGTAGGAGATCGACAAAAGAAAATGGGAGCATTGACCTCCATAGGACATCTACCATGCTCCTACGCGGGCGGATGCTCCCATGCCGTATGATCCGTTGAAGAGCTGGTCCCTAACAGACATGTTACCATGTTGGCCTGCAGCGGGCTGTTGCACTTCGTTACCCATCCAGCCTAGGCTGGTGCGAAGCTCGTTAATCGCCTCTTGCATGCGACCGCCAGACACCTCATTGTGCTTTGCAATCTTCTGATCCCATCCTCCGTACTGGAGCTGTATACCACCTGCCTTCTTTGATGCCTCCCGGAAGACCGCTGCCCATGCTTTGGCCATCTCTTCGTAGGCCTCCTCTCTATGACGATTGTGCTGATAGGTGTCCCAGTCGGGCAGTCGGTGGATGAACTCGGTAGCGCCGTCTAGGAAGGCAAGCGATGTGGCGGGTTGGGATTCGTTCGGAGGGAGGAAGTGGGGCGTGAAATCTTTGAGGGCTTCGAGAAGCTCGATGAGGTGCTGGCGCACGCGGTTGTATGCATAGTCGGATGAAGCTCGACCGCCGAATGGGAAGGCTGCCTGGAAGGATGACTCGTACTTGGCCAGCACCTCCAGCGTTGACTGTATGTTGGGCCGGGGCGCGGTTGACAGGACTTTATTGCCGATGTCCGGGTGTTGGTCGCAGATGGCCTGTAGTACGTTTCGCATGTCGTCGGCGCTCAGTGTCTCCAACAGTCGCTGCAGCGGTAGGGGCCTGCCCGAGACATTGGTCCGCATGCGCTTGGTCGAATGCTTTGCGAGGGGTCGGTCCAAGATGGCGGGCGAGCCAGAGGGCGATGCGGACATGCGGTCGTCATCGCCGCCGCTTCCCTCGTCGTCGGCTTTGCGTTTCCGGCTAGACATGGAGGGCGAGAGAACTGTAGAGGACGTAAGGTCAGCGGCGCGGTGCGGTTGAAGGTGCGGTCTGGCGCCGGGAGACTCACTGTTGCGGGTGGGTGACAGGCGATTGGGAAGCAGGTGCGGAGGGGGGGCGAAGCTGCTGTTGATGACATTCATAGCTGTGGTGGACGGCGGTGTCGGAGGGCGAGTGCCTGAGTAGCTCGCGCTGGGCGGCTTCACAGTGCGAGGTGAAGAATAGACGGGCGCTCGGCCGCCGCGGTTGAAGGAGCAGCTGTGTTGGTTGCTGTGGTGGTTGACGGCGTGGAGCGGGCGACATGCTAGTCGTCAAAAGGGCAAAGCACGGGCCGCTCTTAGCGCCGCTCAGACCCGCCGCACACGTCGTAGTAAACAGAAAATCCTGAAGGCTGCAGACAAGGAATATCTTTCTGCACTGTTTGTCTTCGCAAGAAGATCAAGGACCACGTCCAGCTATACCAGGTGGTCAAGTGACGCGACCGCTGATCGCGACTTGATGTCTGTTCATCAAGCAATGTACAGAGCTGCAAACATACTGAACATGAGGCATATGTTACTTCATTGATTTGTTGTGCTCTCATGTAGCGAGTCTCTACTCAGACTTGATCCCAATACTCGGGCGTAAAAAGATGTTTCACTTCGACGAATACTTTCCCACCATCTAGACGTTTCGGTGATAAGTTGTGGGGTACCTACCGTCAAGTTTATCAACACCCTATGTTTATTGCACGCTTGCATGTCGCAAAGCTAAAGTTGACAATCGAACCAGCATTTGCGACTTAAGCAACCTACAGCTGCCTATGGTATATGATCCTCTCATCTTCGAGGCCCACAATTTGGAAGCATTGCATGTTGCCTGCACCCTAATCAAGGACGCAGACGACCGTTGAATTATCTCCTTGTTTTTCAATGGACTTAGCCCCCACTGTCAATCTCGACATTCACGAACAGCGCAACCCTTCGACGACCGAATTCTTATTCGCACTTCCGGCCAATACAGACGCTGGAGCGTCCTTAGAGCTTTGGTGGCTAAAGAAGTCCACAAGAGAGCCAGTGGTTCCAGAACCAACGAGAATGGTCACGACCACTCGATCCATGATAGTGATGGGAAAGAAAGCTTTAGGCTAGAATCGTTCTTCGTCTTTTAACCACCAACTAAGCTGGGCCGAACTCATGTTTCGCACAAGGTTATGCAATCACCCCCAAGTCCAAGATGTTGTTCTCCACAAACCAAGCCCCCCCCCAGAGCACGAAATGTATTTTATGTTTCCAGTACCTCACGTAGCGGCCAGAGTCTTTTCAAGCACTAAGTGTGCGGATTATCCTATTGCGCCTACCACTTCTACCACCTCCACCACTTCGCACCTCAATGCAATTCAAAGTCGAGTGATACACCTCTATATGGCTATTTAGTATACTAACGTACTACCAGTCGAATGCTCATCCATGGTGGTACGCTCTACTACGGCTTCTTCTGGTGTAAGTGCTGCCTCATTGTGCAACAACGCAACTGTAGTTCAGGCCTCAGCTAAACAAGTCTTACTAGGGAATGAAGAATGCGAAGAGTACGATGCACTTACGCTATGCTTGGATATCCGATCAACCCCTATTGCATTGGAGTACTGTATTAAGCGAAAGAGCTGGAGACGTATTGGCCAAAGCCAATCCGAGGAGGTACATAACAGCGCAGCCCACTATGCGAGATTGTCCAACGGTCCAAGAAATATTTCTGACAACAGCACGTGAACATATATCTAAGGCGGGGGTACAAAGTCAGTGTAATGTACAAAAATTGGGGACCTGGGTGAAGTAGGTGTTCTAGCCAGCTAAAATATCTGAAGATCTCAGACTTAGAGGTGCAAGGCCTAGAGTCTTAGACAATCGCCCAGCCTGAACACCCACATTGTACCCCGGCATTGCGTACTAGCACATGGGAAATGATTTGTTCCGGGGGGACCCTTGGCTGTAGCGCAATGCTATACTACACAGAGCCGCAGATCTAGTGAATTTCTATCCAGGACGCAAAAAGGCCGTGGCTCTCGATGAACCTGAACGCCGATGCTTCCTCAGTTCCATGCTTCCTGACGTCACGTACTTTTGGGCATCCAAAGACGTAACATCTGACGCTCAGCGATGAGGCAAGCGCCAACACAGTTCCCTAACAACTCTTAAAGATGATGCTGACTTACCTGTTGCTAGAGATACAAAGACTGCGCCGCCACGAGATCTCGCCTGACGAGCTCGAGCGCTGCCGTAAACTTTTGCTCAAGCTCTTCACTTCCCATGACCTTGGCGGCCTGGGCCACCTGTCGGAGCAATTCTTCCAAACGTCTGAAGAGGCGGATGAGACTGCCCTCGTAGACGTCGGTCATTTTGCTGTGGCCACGTCAGTAACTGATCGCATGTAGGGAGAATTAAGTTGTACCAGATTTCAGCAAACGACGCGCCTTTACACCATTGATACACGACCTCCATGAGCTCGCACTTGAACGACTGGACGTATTCATCTTCGTTGAGAGGCATCTTAGCGTCCTTAGAAACTTTGACAATATATTTGGCCTTGTCTTGGATCTTCCTGAATGGGAAGGCAAGGTCCTCCCTCAGCGATGGCGCCTCCTTGCTCTTCTCCTCAAAGATGAAGCAACTAAGGCAGGCTGCGCACTGTTCGGGTGTCAGCGTGTTGAATTCTTTTTCGAATAACAACTCGCTTAGCACAAGCTCGTCGCCGGTGCTAATTTCGCATGCAACTCGTGCTTTGAGTTGAACGACATCTGCATCCTTGATGAAGCCCAAACGACGTAAGACACGCTTGCGGGCGTTCAACTCATCCATGTGTATAACAGAAAGCGCGGCCGAGATCTCCCTCTTGAGCGCTTTAATATTGTCGCCAATCGCGATCTTCTTCGCGTATTGATTGTAAAGCTCTAGCAACCGTGGTGAGTTGTGCAATGGGTTGGAAAGCAAGCGCGATTCCAAGACTTCGATCTTCTGGACATATATGTTAGCCTTTTCAATGAGTTTGCAAGCTGAGCATACTCTGAGTGTTCGCTTGAAGACCTCATCGTGTATCTTCATGTTCTCTATAGGATCCAAGATTGCAATTCCATCAGGAAAACGCTTTTTGACTTCATCCAACGCCTTTTGGACGTGAACCTTGTTCTCGGTGGTCTTGATATCCTTTGGGAGGAACAAGCGAAGATGACCGATAGACTCCATGGCCGATAAAAGCACTGGCACAGATTCGACTTTGCCTTTGTCACCAGCAGATGGAGGGCGGACGCCCGGAGGCAAGCCATTGTTACTGTGTGGCACGTATTTCGTATCACTGGCCACAACAAGCGCGCAATCTAGAACATATGACTCCTGCTCGCGGAACTTCTCACCTCTCTCAGGTTTACGTTGCGTAACATTGACAACGGCGCCCCATCCAAAGTCGTGCTCTTTGTACTTGATCCTGACTAGACGTCCAGGCTGCAGGAATTGCAAGCAATGTGCCGGATGCTGTATGACGTCCCGCATGTCCTTCGTTAGATTGTCAAGCTGTTCTCGCAGGTTGTAGTAATCGCGAATGGCGGTCTCATCAGTAATAATCATATTGTCGCGCTCGCTCTCGAGCTCCCGCAACTTCTTTTCCAGATTGCTAACGCTTGCAGTGTTCTGAAACTGTGAAAAGCAACGCTCCAGCATGAATTCTGGAGAGATGCCCTCGACTCTCAGCAAGTTGAGAACCATGTTGTAGCCAAGGTGGAAAGCCGAGTTGAGGTTATCTTGTTGGCCGCGAACGATCTCCTTTGCTACAGCTGGTTCCATTTGCTCGTTGATCATCATGATGACGATTCCGCGTTCGTCAAGACCACGACGACCGGCACGCCCAGACATCTGGATGAATTCGGACGGCGTGACCCATCGCTGGGAGACGCCATCGAACTTCCGCACACTAGTGAAGACAACAGTCTTCGCCGGCATATTTAAGCCGATCGAAAAGGTTTCTGTCGCAAAGAGCACCTTGATTAAACCTTCCTGGAAGAGGATTTCGATGGTCTCCTTCAGGATGGGTAACAGACCTGAGTGATGAACGCCGATGCCGCGCCTCAAGAGCGGGAGGATGTTCTGTATCTGTGCGAGGGAGCGATCTTCTTCCGAAAGCATCTCGATAGCGCTGTTGAAAACCTTAGACACCATGGCCTTTTCCGATTCGTCGTTGAAGGCAAGCTGGCTCATAGCCAGAGCATAATTCTCGCATTCTCGCTTGCTGAAGCTGAAGACAATCACTGGGTTGTAGTTCTTCAGCATGATCATCTTCACAATCTTGTAGATATCGGACTGGTCCTTGTTGCCGCCCTTGTTCGTCTTTTTGTCCTTGCCTTTCCCTTTCCTCTTAGCCAGGAAGTCATCTGCAGCGGTGCCAGCCTTCTCCGCAATCGAAGCCATGGCCTTCTGGAAGTTCTCCTCGCGGAAAGCTCCTTTCTCATCAACAATCAGATGTATGCCATCGGCGCCTTCTGGGAAAAAGTAGTGCTGCAACGGTGTCGGACGAAAATCGGTGTATACGACGTGGCACGGCTGTTTGTGAGTCTTGGTGATCCATTCCGCAAATTGCATGGCATTCGGAATGGTGGCGGACAGAAAGACGTAGCGAACTTTGTCGGGCAGTAGAATGATGGTCTCCTCCCATACGACGCCGCGCGACTTATCGCGTAGATAGTGCACCTCGTCGAAGACGACCCATGCCACTTCACGCATGATTTCGGAGCCTCGGTACAGCATGGACCGAAGAATCTGTGCACGTTAGACTTTCTGACATCCAGTCATTGTGAGCAAGACCTACCTCAGTCGTCATGACCAGACACGTCGCGGTGGGGTTGATGGTGACATCGCCCGTCATAAGGCCCACATCACCAAACTCAGCTGTGAACTCTCGATACTTCTGGTTGCTCAACGCCTTGATGGGGCTTGTATAAATAACACGCTGGTTGTTTTTCAGGCACTGCGCGATTGCATATTCTGCCACAACCGTCTTGCCGGCAGATGTATGCGCAGAGACTAGGACACTTTCGCCCCGCTGTATCGACGCGATAGAGACCTGCTGGAAAGGATCGAGGGTGAAAGGCCATGTTCGTGCGGGGTCGTTCGGCGGCTTGTGCTCGGATATGGGGACATAGTCGTAGTCGGGCGGCAGGGCGACCTGATGACGGACCTGATGTGATAGCACGACGGCCTGTCCATCTTGGTGTGCCTGGCCCTGTAGGCCTGCGGAAGCGGCGACCTCGCGCGACTGCTCCGTCTCGAAGGCATCCGTGACGACCGGTTCGGGCTCGAGGTCGCGCTTTTGGCGCTTTTGTTTTGTAACTTCTTCGTCTACACAAGCAGGCGCGTCCTGCATGGGGGCATCATGCACGGGCGATTTGACCTCGCCGTTTGCCTGGCGCTTCTTTGTTTGCTTGGGCTTGTGCGCAGCGGTTGTTGCCGTCTGCGGGCCGTCCTCGAAGACGTCAAACAGCTCGTCATCCATGGCTGCGGTGCGCGGTGCTGAGTTAGTGTAAGATGAGTGAACCCGAGATACTGCAGACTCGAACGCGGGGTGAACACGCACAGGCAGCTATTTCGAAGCACGTAGGCGTGCTCGATTGCGGGTCCGAATGTTGCGCGAGGAAGTCATAAAAAGTTCACCTTGGATCGGGCCTAGCTCATTCGCGCCTGCCCTTGCTGGGTCTTGGCGCTGCAGGATTACCTCAGCACGCCTGCCGAGCTCGTCGCAGTGTCATCCGATCTGAAGCTCCAGCAAGCACTACCTACCAACACACCCTCTCCACTCCTCACCACTCCCAAAGTACGCCTGCGACACCGCCCAATTGAGTCCGCCGCTGACGTCTCAAGATGCTTGCTCGTGCAGCTTTCCGCGCCACCGCGGCCCCGTCCCTCGTCGCCCGTCGCGGCTTCCAGTCCACCCGCGCCCAGCTCTCCAGCCCCTACCACTACCCCGAGGGTCCCCGCAGCAACCTGCCTTTCGACCCGCTGAAGAAGGGCTTTGCCTTCAAGTACTGGGGCTTCATGGGTAAGCTTTGGTTGGGTCTCAATGGCACACAGCGCGCTAACAGCTGTAGCGACCGGCTTCCTCCTTCCCTTCGGCCTTGCCGGTGAGATATACATGCGCACACTCACTTTACTACATGCATATCTGACTTTTGCGGTGTAGTCTGGCAGACGAAGAAGAACAAGCCTTAAACGGGCCGGCAGGCATAGGTTTGTAGATTGCTCTCGGGTAACGACACCGGAGGAATATGGCACTTGTAGAATAAGGGTCGTTCCCAAGAACGACTGTACACCATGACGAGCATCAATTTCATTGCCTGTGTTGATTTAATCGAGCCGCGGCTCTGCTTGTGTGATTGTTCGTGACCTTTGCTCCCCTCGATATTGGTCTACAGGTCTCTCTGATGGATCCTATCGGGCAAAGCTCGGCTTATCTAACCTCCAAAATTTCGAGCATTTGGCGCGCCTCTCATTCGCCGTCACCACCCGAGAGAGGATCACCAGAACTTCCACACTTTGCATCTGCGATGCGCAACCTGAGAATCGTGGGGAGGTCGCTCCTGCGGTTTTCCGGCGAGGATCCGCTACCTCTCACAGCTACCGCCTGGGATGCCGCCTCGCATGCATCAATATGTGCGTTCGGGCCTTCGGAATCACGTGCAACTATCGAGCTCAAAAGGCTACATGATGGCAGCGACGGGGCAGAAAAGAAGTTGGAGACGATCGCATCGTGGGATGCTCCGTGCCCGCTACCCTCGCTTACCCATGACTCGATACTGAGTCTCCATCATTTCGCCGACTCGTCTACCTCATGCCTGGTGTTGGCTGGAGGAGATATCATCCTGGCTCGAGAGCACCCTGAGCATGGCCAAGATCTTGTCGAGATCGTGGGGTCCGTAGATGCTGGAATTTCCGCTGCTGCGTGGTCGCCTGACGATGAACTCCTGGCCATTGTCACACAGGCCGACACATTATTACTGATGAGCCGGGACATCGACAACATCGCTAGTGTCACATTTTCTTCTGGGGACGTCGACGTCTCAAACCATGTGTCCGTGGGTTGGGGCAAAAAGGAAACTCAGTTCAAGGGCAAGAGAGCAAGGGCTCTTCAAGATCCCACTATGCCGGAAACTATTGACGAAGGTGTGCTCAGCCCGTTGGACGATCACTCTATCACCGTCAGCTGGCGCGGCGACGGTGCCTACTTTGCTGTCAACAGCGTCGAGAAACAACGCCGTAGGATGATCCGAGTATATTCTCGGGAAGGCCAGCTTGACAGCGTAAGCGAGCCTATCGATGGCCTTCAAGGCGCACTCAGCTGGAGACCCTCTGGAAACCTCATCGCTAGTACACGCCAATCTTCTGACCGGGTCGAAGTGGTCTTCTTTGAGCGTAACGGTCTTCGTCATGGCCAATTTGACCTGCGGTTTACCCCTGAGGAGCTGCAGAGCCTGTCCACACCTTTGACTCTATCGTGGAACAACGACTCCAACGTGTTAGCAGTATCATACATGGACAAAGTCCAACTCTGGACTATGAGCAACTACCATTACTATCTCAAACAAGAAATAACATTGCCAGAAAAGGTTGCAACAAACGTTCGCTGCTCCTGGGATCCAGAGCGACCTCTATCCGTGGCATTGTCTACTGCGAGTAAGTGGAACAAATTACCGCATATGCCTTACAAGCTGATGATCCTACCTAGGCTCGCTGCAGATCCTAGAGTACGCATCGATAGTCGCGGCTGCTTCTGTAGCACCACCGCACGACTTTGGATTGGTCGCTTCGATCGATGGCCGTAAGTTATGATATAATACATCTCTGAGCACTCGCTAAGACTGCGAAGGAAACCTGAAGATCACACCTTTGCGTATTGCTAACATTCCTCCTCCGATGTCAATGTTCCAGCTTGCACTGGATCGCAATGCTGTTGACGTTGCATTCTCCCGCTCAGGCACGCGTTTAGCGGTCTTGTCTGACACAGACATTGCAATATTCGCATTCGACTTCCAGATACGGCCAGTCAGTCGACCAACCTTCCTTTGGAGAAGCCATCTTGCAGACGACCATTCCCCTCGTCACGTAGCTTTGGTTGGCGATAACCAAATATGCGTCCTGACGGACGTGTGGGACGAGGAAGAGACTTTCGTGTGGACAAACGAGGACAAGCGAATGATGAACAGGGGCCCTATTCTAGAGCCCGGGATAGTGTCTTCGATGACCTCCGATATAGAATCTTCTAGATTCCTGGTCAATCTGCGCAACGGCGAGTTCACATCAATGGTCGAATTGAGAACCAATGGGCCGACGCAAACCACACCACTGACGAACATGCCATCCTTCACCCCCGATGTAAAGACTGTAATGCTCGAAGGAGAAGTAAATGTCCATGTCCAAATCGATAGGCAAAGCTAACCAGGCGCAGATTGTGGCATTCGGGTTGACGAAAAGCGGCGCCTTGTACGCCAACGAGCGAGTCTTGGTGAGGAACTGCACGTCATTCGTAGTTACTCCTGCACATCTGATTCTCACTACCACCCAACATCTACTCAAATTCGTGCACCTGACGAATCTACAAGGTAAAATATCATCCGCGATTACGATGCCTCTCTCACACACAACAGCAGAACTCGAAGTACCTGCCGACGAGCCCCAGATGGATGAAAGGTGCAGAAGTATCGAGCGCGGAGCGAAGCTCGTCACAGTCATGCCCACTACATATTCCGTGGTACTACAGATGCCGAGAGGAAATCTCGAAACCATATACCCACGAGCTCTTGTGCTTGCTGCTATTAGGCGGTTCATCGAAGCTGAAAGATATGACGAGGCATTCCTTGCCTGTCGCAATCAGCGTGTTGACATGAATATACTACATGACCATGATCCAGAACGTTTCTTGGCGAACATCGCCAAGATCGTGACACAGATAAAGAGGGTGGAGCACATAGATCTACTCCTTTCGCAGCTGAGGTTGGTTTAGTCTCGTCTGACCCGCTTGACGCTCCTGGCTGACCAACGCAGGAACGAGGACGTGTCGGAGACAATGTACCGTGAGACGCTAAAGGCCAAGGATCTGACGACTAAGAACAAGCTGTCTGCAAAACAGGTTGAGTCTAAGGTCAACCGGATCTGTGACGCTTTCCTGGCGGTACTAGAGCAGGAAAAATACAATATTGATCATCTCCAGAACATTATCACCTCCCACGTATGCAAGGTTCCTGCAGACTTGGAGGCAGGGCTGGAAATGATAGGACGCCTGCAAAGTAAGTCAGCTGGTTCCCTATAAGAAAAACAATTAATGCAACAAAGCTACACAGGATCCTCTCACTGATAGAGCTGCGGAACACATCTGCTTCCTTGCGGACGTCAACCAATTGTACGACACATCGCTAGGCATCTATAACCTCGAGCTTGCGCTGCTCATTGCTCAGCAGTCACAGAAGGTATGCGGTTATTTCGCTTGCATGCGATCTATAGTCTTACATTCACAGGATCCACGCGAGTACCTCCCTCATCTTCAATCTCTCCATGAACTTCCTTCTTTACGCCGAAAGTTCCAGATCGATGATCAACTCGGACGTCGTACCAAGGCACTCTACCATCTCAGAGATCTAGAAGCTCACGACGAAGTCCATGACTATGTACAGAAGCACGCCCTCCATCCCGCAGCACTCAGCATGTACCAATACGAATCCGCTCATTATAAGAATATAATGCGTCTTTACGCAGACCACCTCTCCACCAGCAACAAGAAGAAAGAAGCTGCCATCGCTTATGAATACCTCTGCGATCACGTTTCGGCCTGGCCTTGCTACCTTTCCGCCAACCTCTGGCGCGAAGCCCTCTCCTCTGCCATTCTCGCCGGCGTGTCACCCCCAGAACTCGAACAGCTTGCCACTGACCTAGTCGAAGGCCTCGCCGAGTCCAAAGAATATTTCTCCGCCAGTACTATTGCACTAGACTACCTTTCCGATCTTCAAGGCGCAGCTCGCCTCCTCTGCCGCGGCGCCTACTTCGCCGAGGCCATCCGTATCGTAACCCTACGCAGCCAATCCGCCCTAATCGCCGAGGTCATTGACCCTGGGCTAGTCGAGCGCTCCGCAGACATGACCGAGTTTCTCGCGGAGATGAAATCCCAGCTTCTCGCGCAGGTTCCGCGCCTCCAGGACTTACGCACCAAGAAAGCGGAGGACCCGCTCGCCTTCTACGAAGGCATCGAGGACGCTAACATCCCCGATAATATATCGCTGGCGCCGACGAACACGACGTCGGGGGGCACGTTCATGACAAGGTACACGAATCGGACCGGCACAGTGAACACGCAGACTACACGCAAAACATCGAAGAACAAGCGGAGGGAGGAGCGGAAGAGGGCGAGGGGGAAGAAGGGGACTGTGTATGAAGAGGAATATCTCATTAATTCGGTTGAGCGCCTTATCGAGAGAATCAATGGGATGCAGGATGAGATTCGAAGATTAGTGGAGGGGTTGGTGAGAAGGGGGATGAGGGAGAGGGCAATGGCTGTAGAGACGGCGGTGATGGATGTTGGGGAGAGGTGTAGGGAGGCGGTCAAGGAGATGTATCCGCAGAGTGACGGGGTAAGCGCGGTGGGTGAGGGCCCGGCGGCGAATGGTGTTGGGGTAAATGGCGGTCTCTTGAGTGAAGCTGAGATCAGGCCTAGTGGAGGGGATTCGACGCTTTGGGATAGTTTGGCTGAGTTGGGCAAGAAGAGGGAGGCGCCTGTTGTGACAGTCTTTGAGAGGTTAAGTATTTTAGTTTGAAGGATGGCGGTCTTCCATGGAAATTAAACAGTCACGACGAAATATATATCTACCGTCGTTTTAGCTAATTATCGCGAAAAGTTTTAATTTACCAAACCTCAGGACGTGTGCTATATAATTAGTATAGGTAGAATTCCTAGTAGGTACATAGCAGGTGTCACCGGGCCAGGGTAGATGCCTTGGCAGCTGCCTCGGGCCTCAGCACTTCCTAAGCGAGACTGGCGCCTCGCTTAGGGCTTAGTGGCCACGCACCTCTATAGAGGCTCCTGGCCACCCTAGATAGCTCCCTATTATAACTATCTTATGTTTAGATCCTAACTAGCTTATTATCTTATATCTCTTAGTATAATGCCCCTAATAGAGCCCTTACACTAGTATTATAAATTTTTAGTAATTAGTATTACTATATAACTAAGTAATTACTTAGTTACTATTTTAGTAACTAAAATAAATATTAGAATTAATATATTCTAAAATACTAAACTTATAGAGTATACTTTTTAGGCTATAAAACTATTCTAATATTCTTTATAGCTTTAATAATAAGCTAGAAATAATTATCTTTATTTATTTTCTACTTACTTATCTTTTAATGTTAGGTTTATAGTTATATAGTAATATAGATATTAGTAAGGTCTAAAGTAGGTAGTATATAATTAGATAGATAATTTATTATCTAAATTTCTTAGATAGCTTACTATCCTTTATACTTTAAAATAGGCTAATAAACGCTAGGCCCTACCTTCTAGACCTAATTAGTACCTAAATAGAGTATTTAATACTTATATACTATAAGTCCTAATATTACCCCCCTTTTAAGTAGCTTTCTAGCCTTAGAGAAGCTTCTTAGCTTTTTTAAATATAAAAGATTTTTATATAGGCCTAACTAGTACTACTTAGCCTATATTAGTATAATTTAGTATAACTTAGCTCTAAATAACTCTTTTATATAAACTTATTAGTTTTTTTATTTATATTAGTGCTAAGACCTTAGTACACTAAAATATTTATACTTTTTAGAGAATAAAATTTACTAAAAACTTCTATCTTTTTATTTTTTACTTTTTAGCTACTAACCTTACGTAAGTATTTCTTATAGTCCTTTTATATATTAGTATAATCTAGTATAATTTAGTATAATTTAGTATTTTCTATTACTAACTACTAATAGGGAAGTTAATTTTACGCTTATTTAGCTATAATAATAATAATAATAATATTTTAGAGTAATTTATTATAATTTATTACTATTTATTATAATACCTCCTAAGAAGCACTCTATAAGAAATTACTATATTAATAATATTTATTTTAAGGGTACTCTTACTAAATAGCCTTATATTAGGTATATTATAGTTTATAAGAGTTAGGGTATATCTAATACCTAGTTAGTATACCTAATAGACCTCTATAATAATAATTAGGATTTATTAGTCTTCTAGGGCTATAGCTATAAGATATATAGAGCCTATTTAGAGAAAAATAGCTTATATTTTATAGTAAGTACCTAAGTAGTTATTAGGATCCAGGATCCAATAGGCAGCAGGACGGCCTATTATATAGCAGAGCCTCTAGATAAGCATATATTAACTATAGGCAATGCCTATTTAAGGATTAGGGCGCTTTAGGAAGTTACGTAACTACTCTCTAGAGAGCACTCTCTAGAGAGCGCTCTCTAGTAAGTGCTCACTAGTGAGCAGCTGCATATAATTAAGTATATAGGAATAGAAGAATTACTATTAATTCTTATATTTAACCTAAGTTTTAATCTATTGTTTAGATTTACTTAGGCCTCCCTTATTAACTTATTACACTTTATAAGATACTTCTATATTAATAAGAACCCCTTCTTCCTCCCCTTAGTAAGTCTTGCCCAAGAACTAACCCTAACCTATTTAGGACTAGCTATCCTTTCTAGATTTAATATCTTAAACACCCTTAATATAACTATAAGGACTCCTACTTCTTCTATAGCTTTAGATAATAATACTATTACTCTAATAGGCAACTCTAAGAGTAAAGTATATAAACCTAATTTATATTATAGTAATAGAAAGTATACTAACATCTAGCTTCTTTAGTTAGACCTCTACTTCTTTAAACTTAATAAATAACCTAAAGATAAACAAAAGGTTATCTTTACAGCTACTTATATACGAGGTAATACTAGAGAATAGATTTAACCCTATATAACTAAGTATCTAGAAATAGACCATAATAATAAAGATAAGGAATATGTAGATAACTATATAGACGCAGTTAACATTATTAAAGACTATACTAACTTTAAGAAATATCTTAAACAGATATTTAGAATTGCTAATAAGGTACCTATTATAGTACGAAATATTTAAACTATAATGTAATAATAATTAGTAGCTAAGTATATAGCAGAGTTCTATAAGAACGCTATATAACTTAACTAGGATAATAAGTTACTAATAATAATATATAAATAAGGTCTTAAGAAACCTCTATAAGAAGAACTTCTACGTAGTAGGGGAATTATTAGAACCCTTAATAAATTATATAATAAATTAATTAGGATTAATAGAGAATAGTTTATACTGTAATAGGAATTTTAATGCAACCTAAGAAATATTAGTTTTAGATAACTAGTACCTATAGTCTATAGGGTGCCACTAAAAGGACCTTAACACTAATTATAAGACTCCTATAGATACTAGCTAATAGAAGATATCTAGTTTAACTACTTAGGTAAAGGAAAAGGAAAAGGACTAGGCTTTTATAAGCCTAATACGCATATCTTAGATAGAACCTAACACTAGGGGACTAAGACTTACATATATTTTACATATAGTAAACTAGGCCATATTACTAGGAACTATAGATCTAAGAATAAGGTTATTAGGTAGTTAAATGTACTTACTATCCTAATAAAGGAAATTAAGGATAAAGAATAGACTATTACAAACGCCATTAATAACCTTACACTTAATAACAAATCTAGATTAGAGGTATTAACTAATTCACAACTTTATAAGGACAAAGAAGAAGAATAATCTAAAATAGTAGATAAGGAAGTTAAGTAGATACTAACACCTTACCTATAGTTTAAAGGTAAAGAAGTAATCTTCACTAATAGAGTAAATATATAGAAATACTTAGATAAACCACTAATTTAACTATAAGATAGAGACATATTATTATTACCTATAATAATCTTACTATTATTCTCTATACCACTAGAAGCTTACAACAAACGCTAACTAGAAATTATTACAAAGGAAGATAGATAATAGGTAGATTATAGATATATATAATAAGACCCTAGTAAAAACTTCTATAATAAGAACCTAGATTATTTATAGAAGTACTACCTAGACCACTAAAACCTGTGGCACTTAAACATCTAATAGATTAAATGCGGACATAACTAGTGCCCAACCTACTATAGAGCTAAGGAGCTATATAAAGGTAAATAACCACTAAATAAGTAATAATGCTGCTAGGAATAGTACAATTACCTAATTAATAAATGCGATAAACATTTATAGGATAAGTAAGAAAAATTATACTTTTTAAGTATAAATAACATATAAAATATAGTAACTAGCACACTCTATAATAGAATATGCACTTAAGATAGATAGTAAACTTACTTAAATATTAATTATAGTAGACACTAGGATAATAAGCATATCTATAGATTTAGTAAGAACCCTAACTAACTAAGAATAGTTATTAATATTTATATAGAAATAAGCATAGCATAGAAAGGTAAAGCTTCTAAAGAGAAACTATAGTAGAAGAATAACTATAGTAGAAGAAGAGAAGGGTAGGAGTAAAAGGAATAATAAAAAGGGAATATAGACTACCTAGCTCCTAAGAATAGTTCTTTTTTAGACTAGACCCTAGCCCCTAAGGCCTAAGAAACTCTTAAAGACTTATAGATAGGTAAAAAGATACTACTAGAGAGTTAAATACTATTAATAGTAAGGTATTAATTAAACTACTAGTTTAGCTTAATAAAATATAGATTAAGGCACTATTAGATTTAGGCGTATTAGAAAACTTTATATCCTAAGAAGTAGCACTATAAGTAGGACTCTAGCTAGCACTTAAGGATAAAGCTTATCCTATCTATATTATAAATAGAAGTTAAATACTAAATATACTATATATTACTTATAAAGTTACTGCTATACTTTAGATCTATAGACATAGGGAAATAATCACACTTAATGTACTAGACAGATCTAGGTATAATATTATATTAAAATTACCCTAGTTAAGAAAGCACAACCTATATATTAATTAGGGTTTAAGAACGCTATCCTTAGAATACTATAAATGTGTATTATAAGCTAAGCCTACGTAATAATAGAGATTAACAGTAGATAAGAGTGTTATTAATAATATAGACTTATAATAGGAAGTTAAAAAATAGAAATTACCCTTAGTAGACGCTAGTAGGAACTACTAGGTTATAAAGTATAAGAAGAAGGAAGAAAGTACACCCTTAGAAGTACCTAGAGAGTATAAAGCATAGATATATATATTTATAGAGAAGGAAGGAAAGGTAAACCTACTAAAATATTAACCCTAGGATTATATAATTAACCTAGAAAAAGGGAAGACGCCACCCTTTAGACTACTATATAGTAAAATAGGAGAAGAACTCTAGAAAGAATATAAATTTATTAAGATAAACCTAGTAAAAGAATATATTAGACTATTAAAGTTACTAGTAGTAAGCCCTTTTATATTTATTAAAAAGAAGGATAGATTAGATAGACTATACATTAACTACTAAGCGATTAATAATATAATAATTAAAAATAGATACCTATTACCTAACATCTTAGAGCTTAGAGATAGACTCTTAAGAGTAAAAGTCTTTATAATAATAGACTTAAGAGACGGATACCACCTAATTAGAATAAAGAAAGGTAAAGAATAGAAAATAGTATTTTAATTACGCTATAGACTCTTTAAGTACCTAGTAATACCTTTTAGACTTACTAACGTACTAGTAA